TTTTGTGTGTATTTGTGTGTTATGAAAGCGTTTCCAAGGCATCTTTCTACATAAAATTTCATGGGTTAAATTCAATATTTTTATATATAGACATCAATAGGAAAATATTTTTTTTATATCCGACACCACGCAACCTTTTCAATTATTGAAACTAACTTCAAAATGAACTTCAAAAAGTAAAAGTTTTGAACTTTTGGACGGTCCTAATGATGTTGTATATCAAACAGAGTTTAGGTTAAATTATAAGGAAAAAAAATGTAATGATTAAAAATTACAAAAATACTTTTTACCACCCTGCAAACGAGACGTTTTTAGAAAACTGAAACCGAAAACTCTTCTCAAATTAATATCTTTGCTAGTTTTAGAAACAATTCACAATTTTTGCTTTCCCGTTTCGAATAGTGTCTTGCATTTTTTTCTGTATGAACATTTATATCATACTTATGCTTTTCTTTGGGTTTTCTGCTGAACGTTCAATTACTGCATTAACTGGATGCAGGATATCGTAAAATTTCACTTATTCTGAGTAGCATCCTTAGAATTTAATGCCGATGCGATAGAAGCGTAAAATTTCATAATAATAGCAATCTGGTCGTAAGAAATTAACTTGCTACATTCATTAAAAGCATAAAGTATATTATGACCTTTTCCGTAGCCATTAAACATTCAGAAAGCTAAAAGTGCGTTCCGCGTTGTAAACTGAATTATCCATTATAATAGGGTGGAGTTAGTTTCTGCCCTCTTTTAATGGAAAGTTTTGTTTTATTTTCGCCCTGTGCATTAGCCTACCATTTATTTTTTACCTCGTCCTCCGAAAGCTTCTGTGAAATTTTCCCTTTCCCGAAAATTTAATCGGTTTAAGGCAAAATTAGATTTTTTAGTTAGTAAGGGATTATTCAAAGGGAGATTTTTCCTTGCATTAGCTAGGCACTAATTAAAAAAGGGATTACTTTGTTTTGTTCCGTATATTTAGCCGTTATTGGAATAGATTTTTGAAAGCGAGTACCGTGCGGAAAACAATATTTTTTGGGGTTTATTAAAAACTATGCTGGATGTAATGTGTATTTTTCCGGTAAAATCCACCCATTGATTCAAAACTTGGACCCCAAACCAAAATATAATATTCCAATAACCGGATCAAAACTGAAGAGTGAATGTGCCAGAATGAATGTACTATTAGAGGTATCTGGCGAAGGAACCAAATGACCGCACAATAAATTAAACAAGCATACGTTAATTTTCTAACATCAAGGCGCCAAATTTAAACTGAATCGCGCACTCAATACATTTTCGCGGGTACTGTCAAGATATATTATTATCAGTGAGAGAACTTGTGATCATGTGCTTATTTTTGAAGAATGTACATTAATTTATTGCAAAACTGTTTTTATAGCATTTAAAATAAATGGGTATATAGCGATATAAATAAATAATTATATATGTTTTAAAATTTAGCGTTTATTGCTATTGTGCCCTATAATAAATATTAAAAGTTAATAAATTAATCATAACTAAAAAAAATAAAAATAAAATTTTTTCTTTTTATTTGGATACTACGTTTATTTCTCAAATTTTCTGTTTTTAATGGTGTCGTTGTTTTGCATCTACATACATCGTAAATGATTGTTCATTCAAACTGAGCACGAAGCTATTCATTTCTTGCAAAATAATCTGATAATAATCTAATTGTAACACTTGCAATTGGTGATCTTGAATTTTTCGTGAATCTTCAATTATCCTTTGGTTCGAGACTCCTGTAATTAATTGTGGAACAATTGTCTCTTGATAGTATGTAATACCATCGGCTGAACTTTGTGCTATAATTCTGAATGTGAAAACTAATCCATCTTTTACCTTTTCCTAAAATACATGATTTGGAGCAATTTGGGTTAAAGTAAATCCAAATACTCTTTTTATATCAAGACTGAAGGGCGCACTATCTTTTAGCATTCGAATAAGAGAATACTTGAACAGCATTTCATAGGCTTCTAGAATGAAAATAGCGTACAATTTCAAAAATCACCACAACGTTTTCAACTTTTCTATAATAACTTATATTTTAAATACGTACATCCACAATTTAATAATAATAATAGATTTTATTGCCCAAAAGAAATTACCAACTACAGGACAATAACAGAAATACATAAAACAATTAATTTTATAAAGTTAAAACTAAACGAAAGAAGAAACATAGAAATAGAAAACAAGAAACAAAAGGTGTGAACATATAAGAAAAATAATATTAACACGAGAACAAGACAGTGCGAACTACTTAAACTGTAATTACCTAAAGATGGACTTTAACCGTTAGTGATATAGTGCTGGTTGCAAATTCTAATCAGTTTTGGTAAACTATCATTAAAAATATCACAATATTTACTAATTAAGTTGAAATGCGAGCACCTTTGATACAGCGGGGACCTACGTAATAAATGTGTTTGGGGAATCCCTGAGCTAAACGTAAGAATGTGTCTTGCATTAGCCAGCGGAACACGAAAATCAATTTGCGCAAGTAAACTCATAGTCAACATTACTATGCAATAACTTATATAAAAACATTACACTGGCCGTAAACCGCCTCTGATCCAAATGAATATTAAACCTGTCCTGCAATGTCCCTCCCTGGATAGAAACCATCCACTCTAAAAGCAAGAAACTTTATAAATCTCCTTTGAACATTCTCAAGTGACCGAATATAAGTTGAGTATATGTATGTATATATATATATATATATATATATATATATATATATATATATATATATATATATATATATATATATATATATATATATATATATATATATATATATATATATATATATATATATATATATATATATATATATATATATATATATATATATATATATATATAAGCAGGTCAGCTGGAGTTTTATTCTAAAAGATATTTATACATTGCGAAAAGTGGATTCTATATAAATTTAATAGCGGCAGTATAAAAGCCGTATGGAAGACATAACTTCATACAAGAACAGTCACCTAAAAAACGTCTAAAGCGGCATTTTTGTAAGGTAAATCCAGCGTTGATCCTTTGCAGCAAATCAATTGAACGTTGCTCGAGGAAAAGATGATGAGGGAAATTGAAAGAAGTCGGAAAGGATGAGGGATTTTCGAACGGAGTATCTATACAGGGACGGATGGTTAGCAATAACTTTACAGTTGCGAGCAGGTCGTAGATCTTATAAACGTTTTACGTTTGTCGTAGTGCCTTTTATGGGGGTTAAAAATAAATGTGCGCAGGTAGGTTGTTGAACTTGAGCGCACTGCTTCTGGTTTGCACTGTATCTCTGTTTCCTGCTGTTCCAGTTCAAACTCAACTCAGGAAAAATCTCGAAGCAGTGTATCCTTAATTTTTGTAAAAACTACCAAATTACCGAGTTAGTCTACCAAATATACAGTGTGTCTTTGAATAAGATGCCAACAGGGAAGGTGATTCCAAGAAAAAAAACCATATAAGCTAATATCCTAAAACCGTTTTCTTGTTGAGGGAGCAAAAATAAATCTATTTTCTTCCTGGTGTGTTACTACTCACCCTTGTGCTGATTGGAAAATTTTATTATATTAAGAAGAAGCAGTACTAAACCAAAAATATCTAGTCTGGATCGGACGTCACTGTTTAAAAAAATCTACATCAAAGATTGGCTGTTGTTGCTGATCTATGTCTTATATTATATATGTTATTAAAGTTATGATAAAAAATAACTTTTCTTAAAACTTTAAAACTTGGTATTTCGGTTTATAAGTCACCTTAAGGAATCATATTCTGAAAAACTGTGGAGTAAATCTTATCTATGGCTGCTTGCTCCGAATAAAACATGTGTTTTATTGACCAGAAGCGTACATTCTTAGCCATTCTTCAGTAATATTGTTTTCTTAATGACCGATATGACTAAACAAATATGTTTCATTTAAATTGACTTACTTGAGCCTAAAATGTTATCTAACGTGTTTGGAACTGAATACTTTTTGTATAGTTCTGGCGGCCAATGTAGGCACACATTACTTTTTGTATCATGCAGTCCCGAAATTAACTAATAATATATTTTTTCTACATCCTCCACAGCCCAGTTAGTCATACTCAAGAGTGACGAGTGTCACTTTAAGGCGTCTGCTTTGCTACCCACGATCGCAAGTCATTTAGGAAATTTTCGGTATTTTCGGATTTTGGAACCATTCCATGTTTTCGGTAGATCTTAGCCATGGCCATGCTATTTTGACGTTGACCGCAGAACGGAAACTTCCTCAATCACTCGTTTATTTAACACTCGCTTCATTTGGGGTATAACAAACTCGTCACTAAAAAGTTTACAAAACTTGTTTCCTAATATACTTTTGCAGATTTTTAAAATATTCCGTTTAAATTTCATTTTAAATTTTATTTTTAAAATTATATAAAATATTAAAATTTCATTCGTGCTTATCCCCAAGCTCGATTTTGAAGATTCGGTAAAGATCACAGTTTCCGCATAGTAATTATTATTTCATCCGAATGTAGAGAGAAAAATTTTGACAAGAGAACGCAAGGGTCAAAGACACAGTCGGTGATACGAGTCCCGTCCTGACTTCCGAATTTGTCACAAAAGAAGCCACGCTCCGGCGCCCAGCGAAATCTATTAGAAATCGTTAAATCCCAACTCCGACGTAGAGCGCCTTTCCATTCTGACGGGCGTCGCGGCACTACGCCTTTAGCCAAAGGGCCTAACAGGCAATCTGTTATTGAATGCCCAGAGTTGCCGGCGACGTGGATCGTGTGGAATTCCCTCCTCCGCAAAATACCATACAATAAAACGTATTAGGATCCCGAAATCCGAACGTTCTTAGAATTCGTATAAGCCTTTCGCCCGATACTGACAACGTCCGTAGAAAAATAATTTATTTTTGATTTCCTAATGCGAGACAATAAATAACGTTGGAAATGTCGATCTACTTCGATTTGCCCGTTATACGTCTTAATTCGTGTTTCCTTGTTCACAGGGAGCCTCTTCAAGCTTAGTGGTTAAATTTGCAGACACTGAAAAAGAAAGACAACTAAGGCGTATGCAGCAGATGGCTGGAAATATGAGTCTTTTAAACCCATTCGTTTTCAACCAGTTTGGTGCTTACGGTGCTGCGTATGCGCAGGTGAGTACATTCCTTGGAAATTTAATGTTAGCAAGATCTTTAAAGAAATCTTGCATCAACCAAAATGATTCAATTTAAGCAAGATGTTGAGGAGTTAAAAAACCTTTATTTTCTTTTTGTTACTTTACATTCCATCAAAGTTTGTTTATAAATAATGCCCAATAATAAAACGGGAAGTTCCGTTCATAAGCGTCGGTAAGAAATAATTCCATAAAACCATGAAATGGACAATATTTTAATTTATCAAAACTGGATGATTCGCCATATACAATGCTTTTGACAGATGACTGCGTATGCTGCTTGTAGATATTGTTGATCTTCCTCTTTGAAACCTATATTAAGAGTCAATTACTACTTAATCTAAATATTTTGTATATCCTCATCATCAATTTCCCCTTTGTTTTTGTAAATTCGGGAAACACTCCGGTGGAACTTCATATAAGTTGACTTAAATCGTTTACTATAGCTTAAATAGGGCACAGTTGACTAGTCAGCAGAAACAGAACTAATTAAGGAAACCGCATTTAAATGGCCAGCAACCATATGCTCTCGACCTTTCTTTGGTTTACAACTTGGTGACCCAGTAACCTCTAATTTGACTTGGCTGACGGCGTGTCTTAGGTCTCCCTCTTTCTTAAAGCTGGCTTGTATTCTGACTCCCGACGCCAAACCTGAAAGATAATGCTTATCTTTGGCTCCTGCTCACTTGACTCTCGGGTCGACCTGTAAAATATGTTTGGACTCCCAACTCCTCCTTTGCCCTCTCTTCCACTGAAGTAAGCTAGCATATTGGCAGTAGATCGTGATAATATGATACATACTAAAAGTTCTGCTATTAAGTCGACAATTCTTTTGAGCAATCAAATAGAAATTAAGTAAAAAAGTAAAACAGTAAAGCGAACTAGAATTGTTTGCATTGTTATTTGGACATGCATTTAGGAAGTTCATGTTTAAGTAATTTTAAATTAAAATTTGCTTATCGCGCTCAAAGAAGAAAGAAGAAAGAGAACAGAAGTTAAAACCAACAAAAAAATTAATAATTTTAAAGTGTTAAACATTAGTGGGCATGTTTGTTTTTATCATTTTCTTTTGACATTACCAATCGAATTAGTTATTTGTTAACCCATAGGGCCCATGCTCAGATCATAAATATCATATCTTTCAAGAAAGATTTTAACAAAATGTTTTAATTGTGAGGTTTCATAAAAAAAACTTTGAGGGATAGTTTATTATTTCAATATTTTTAGAAAAAAATATGTTTTAAGAAAATAATTTGCAAAGCTTTGCACATGGAAACAAAATTTTCGCAAATAAAAAGGTTTAGCTATCTTTTACTCAGTTTTGACTACCTCTGGCGGAAAACTTCAAGAAACATTGAATTTGACCCACCCTGGACAAACCAAGCATTTTTCAAGATTTTGATATCAAAATATTAAAATTGATTTGTCCCTATTTTAGCTTTCTTATAATAATTCTTTCAATAAGAACGGAAAGGAAGAACAGCTTGAAAAAAATAGCAAGGGAGATAGTTAAAGACCGAAGACAGCACAATATAGAAAAAATCAAAGAAGCAATAAAAAAGAACAAAAATATGAAACTAAGCTAAGGCCTGAGAGAGGGAACGAAACTACAAACATGGAGAAACTGCTTTAAATGTCTGACCAATTTTATGGAGATAAAGAAAATTTGGCAAAGCCTAGGGATTGTAGAACTGTAAACATAGGATCTGAAGATATTGCAAAGGAAGAAGAAAGAAATGATCTTCAAAAAATGAAAAATAAGACCAAATCGTTATAGAGACCTATAAGATGGACGGAGATAAACTTGTGCAAATACTAGTCTCCCTTTCTAAACTACGTTTGCAAAATAGTATTATTCGCAGTAAATGGCAAAACGCAATCGCCATTCTTATTAACAAAAAGGGTGATATCACAAACCTGGAAAATTGTAGACTCTCCATACAAACTGTTTACTAAAATTATAACTAAACGCTTAAAAACCAAGAGAACAGACTGCATAGCACTAACCTTAACAAAACACAAAAATTAAGAGTGGCACAAAGAGCAATGGAAAAAGCCGTGCTGGGAATAAACAGAAGAGGGAGAATAAGGAACATGGATATAAGACAAACAACTGTCACCGACATCATACAGCATATCACGCAGGCTAATTGGAGATGGGCTGGTCATGCAGTACGAATGATCGATAACAGATGGACAAGAAGAATATTAGAATGGCCAACAGGAGAGGACACCAGGAGCGAACTGAGCGAACTGAGTGAAAATTTTTAGAGGGGCCTACATCCAGCACTGGATGCAGGGGGCTGAGGGGTGATTTTAGCGTGCGTTTAGCCAGTCCGTTCCAGTCGTACCGATATTTCCCATCTCATTCCATGCACAATTTTGCGAAACACCAAGATATTTCTTATCCCTACTAACAGATATATTTTTACGACTTATTAGCATTCGTGTTAAGCAATTGTTCGGCCTGCGCCAGTCCTCATAGAGATAACGGTATCCCGCCCAGGATAAGAAAACACACAAATCCTCGATGACGTCGATTCAACACCTTAATTATAAAACGGTGGCCGTAATTAAAGCTAAATGCTGATTTTCATGAGAGCGACACTATCAAACACATCTAGCCGGATAAAATTATACAGTTAAACAACATAAAGGAATAAAATACAGATGGCATTTCCCAAGGGGCAGTCGAGTCGTCGCGGAAGCTTATGCCGAAATTCCAGTCGTCACGCGAACCACTTTAGAAACACTACATTTTATTACCACTAATTCGGTGGCCACAGTTATTAAGAGCCAGTGAATTAATTAACTTCAATTTGGTAAATTTCGTCGGGTTTAATTATTATTCAAGTCTAAAGAGTTAGATATATACTCTTAAAAAGTTATTACCCACATCTACAATTAAAATAAATGCTCAATTTCGAATAAATGTGCTAATTAAATTAAAAATAACGTAATTATCTGTCTTTTTGCGCGGCTTATTTTTTGAGCAAACTGTACAGTAATGTACATAATATAGTTATACAACATCATCATCAAAAGATAATATAAAATGACAGTTTTGGTTAGTTTAGGTGATATTAACTGACAATTCATAACTTTCGTGGATGTATGTGATAATGCTTAATAATCTTGAGACAAATCACTATTACTATACAGGCATATGGTATACGTATGTAATAGCAACCTATATTTATCATGACTTGACAAGTATTTTGTAATGGAGCCTGAAAATGTTTACACCGCAAGAGTCAATAATCTATCAAAAATTCATTAATGTATTGCATATATTATCAATAGCAAAATAAATCAGTAAGCTTTTAAAATATAATATTGTTGTACAACAAATAAATTGAAATAGTTGTTATTGTCGTGCTTTTCCTTGTGAGTTTGACCACTTGAGGGTTGAAAAATATAAACCCAATCTTTAAATGTCTTACTTCGTTTTCGCGTGGCTTTCAAAGTTGCCCAGATTTGAAATATCAAAGTTACTGTACGATCAAAGTGAACTTGTAATTGTGTCCAGTCATTTTTAATTTCAGTTTTGGCAAACAAGAACATTCTGGATATTTTTGATTTAGGTTTTGCATGTGAAGGTTTTTTGTTAACAATTTCACCTCAGTCGTGTAAAGTGTGAGTGTTTTCGTATGCAGGTATAGTTTGTGGTGGCAGATTTTCAATAAAAAATGTTGTGATATATTTTAATATTTAAACTAGCAAACACCAAAAATATAGTTTTTTCTATTCCCATCTGTAAAATACCTAATTACCCACCGATCTAGCGTGAGGGAAGCGTCACTTTACCATGTCTGTTCGCCACTTCGAATATTTTCGAGATTTTACCGCATGGGTTTGGGAGCAATCGGATGTTTTCGGAAATATTTCTCACGCTTTGAATTTTCACGTTTGTCAATTCTGACGGTCATGTCAGTGAATGTAATCGTGTTGTTTTGCGGAAATGTACCCAAAAACTAACGATCGTAGAAAAAGTGTAGTATGCAACACGTTCGGTAAACTTTTTAACTCACTCGTTTATTAAAAACTCGTGAGTCAAATGCCGTTTACCACATTTGTTGCATAATATACTATTAAGCTCCAGAACTGATTTTTAGAAGCGGTTTCAGAGTTACAAAAAGCGGTTTTAAAATAAAAAACTGTAAGTACCCTATGCAAATGGGCTTTCCTTAAGTAATTTGTAAGAAAAAACTCATCTATACCTCTACGCGTAACGGTTGCGTTTTTGAAATACCAGTTTTCCATAATAATTATAATAGGTATAATTATAATATAAAATAAAGTTTTTACTATTTATTATTAAAGTCAAGTCAATTTTTAAAGAAATCCTTTTATTTATTTTATCTCTTCTTGGCTTTTCCATTGCTTCGAGTTTCAAACACCCTGTATATAGAAAACGAAGCGTATGTCGACCGTTGTTTATATCCTTTTTTTGTAAAAAGCCCGAGAAATCTTCGTGCGAAATATCGAATCCCTGCAGGGAATAAAATTGACTGAATTAAGCAGCAGAATCAAAAAAGGCAAAAAATATCTTTTATGTGGCAAATATGCTCAATTAAAGTTTTGTCGACATTGAAGTTTTGTTGGTCGCCACATCCAAAGGTTTTAATTCGCGTATCCAATTTATTCGGAGTAACGGGTTTTTAATATAAGAGGCGGTCGAACATTAAACGGGAGACTAAACTTGTTTAAACTTTAAATTGCAATTCCTACCTATTTATTAATTGAAAGTGGGGAATACTTCAGCAGATACTAAACTCCGCTTTTAAAATTTAAAAAGCCCTTTTTTATATGCTTAAAAAAACATTTTATTCCTACACTTAAATTAAACTTATTTGTTCTTTTATTAATAAAATTAATAAACGGTATTTTCATTTTTTTCTAGCAGCAGGCGGCAATAATGGCGGCCGCGACTGCGCAAGGAACGTACATCAATCCGATGGCGGCAATAACCCAACTCCCCCATGCAATCAACGGAATCGCCAACTCCGTTGTCCCACCTACTTCAGGTATGATCAGTATTTGAGGGAGATGTGCGTCAAAAATAAGAAAAAATAGAAATTGATTAATAAAACAAAAAAATCTATTAATAACAGTGGAAATTGTACCATTTTATTTCAATTAAGAGCTCCTTTATCGCAACGTATGGCATCATGAAACTTTCACCGCCACATGAGCAAGTCCTCTTGACTCTCAAAAATATCTCGGAATATTCTCTTTTACATCTTCATGTCATGGTTTTGCTTTATATTTTATAGAGGCTATATAACAATTTTATCTTCTCAAAACGTTTAAGAAAAAATCGTTGTAATAAAAATCAAGTATCACATTACTTATTACTTATTATTTATCAGTCGATAAAGGATAAAAAGAGATTACTAATTTATAGATTTCGTCGTTTTCTACTCAACCTTAAACCATTAGCGCTCATGCTAACCATGCAGTATTAAAACATGCATCAAAATTTCTATATGATAAAAAACAATGTATCATGCACTTCGTCAGAGAAGAGACATTTACAACTACAATATCGTAAAATGCATTCATGTTTTTTAATAACCAACTAACATTTTAAAAACAAACATTATTCGGGGCATACCTGGGACCTTGTGGAATTGCATTCCGTTCGGGAAACAGACATGCAAACACTTCTGGTGTATTGAAGACTACATTTAGCCGTAAAATGATCTACCTAGTATATCCCGTAAGTATTCGATTGGGTTTAAAATCGGACAATTATCCATGCCATCCTAAAACATTAATTACGTTTACTTTGCGAAATGTTCTCACTGCTCTCCTTGTAACCCAGGTGCTCTTAAAAATCTCCATAAATAAGCTGTAGGTCAGTTCTTCCACCAAGAGTGATACCTCTACAAACCAACAAACTACCACCTTGATGTCTGCGGACTTCCTGACAGGAAGGACCTAATTATTTTTAGTTCAATTTTCATGGTTTAAGGCCAAGTCGGCTGGCGTGATTTCTCGTAGAAATCATCACTAACTTTCGACTACTTAAAGCATATTTAGAGTCTATTTCTGATGAAGTTGTTAAAACATGATATTGTGTATTTTTCATTACGTGCACAAAATAATCCAGCTTTCTTCTTTTTGTGGTATTAAGTACCTCATATACTGCAGAACCACATCATTCGTAACTTTTCTACACCCATGATATCTTCAACATTCTTCGGTTTCATTGAGGCTCCTTGCTTCCATACAGTAGAATAATATGCTGATGATATATCGGTATAATAAGTGTCTTCTTAAGGGAATTCTGCTTGCTTGCCTCATTCTGCTTGAAGCATTCCATTGCATGCAATAAATAGAATATCAAGAAACAAGCAAATGTAAAAATCTACCATGTTTATTACAGATTTTTATGATGAACGGAAAGGTTTAAACCGTAATTCATAGATTTTTTGCATTAAAACTATATTCTTTGGCGCGCACCGCTTTAACTGTATTACTACTAAAACGGTATGCTTTACGGAAACAACAAAGAACAAACTCGTCAGCGACAAACAGCTACAAACAGGCAAATAAGGCTAATGCGGCTCTGTTTTCCGACGACTCCTATTCTGTTTGTACCAAAACATACTCCCAAATGCGAAATGTCAGTTCGGGGGTAGCCGGGACGCAAGGGTAAAAACGTAAACATGGCGCTCTTTGACGCGGCTTTAAATACAAACGCACGACATGGTTTGCTTGTGGATTAAACTGACATCGGATAAAATTGGCTAAAGGGCATGCTGGGTATTGTTTTGCGAGTAGAATCGAATGTGCCTAGGGAACGGTATTTGTGAGACCTAAAAGCCGTAACTTTTCTTTGCTATTTACCATAGATAATATTCTATTCCACTACATTTGCCATATGAGAGATGGTTAAAACTTATTAACAATTTGTTCTAGTTAAATTGAATCAATATCAGCTAGAGCGAGTTTTAGCAAGACGCCTATATCTTACTTCAATTGAACAATATAAGAGGAGAAAACAAATTAATATAAGGACTGACCTTCTGAAGCATAAAAGCAAAAAATATGTTAATGCAGTTAAGCAAAGTAAAAAGGAAACGACCATTGTAAAGAAAAAATAAAAGTGGAAATGAAAATAGTTTCCATAAGCCACTTACTGAAGAATCTGTATATAGACTGTATTGAACTTTACAACACTTGGAATTTCTTCTTATATCGACCGTACTACACTTATTTGAATTCAAAGTGAATGAGTGAATAAAATTTAATGAAAACACCAGGTCAAACTATGTAACAGACAATTAAAAAAATCGTGAGAAATACTTACAAAATTAGAGTTTACCACATAGTTCCTCAAAACAATACTTTACAGTTAAGGTAAATGAACAAAGCGAAATAATGAAACAAACGGATAGACGCTTCGTACACAATTCTTAATAATGGTAGGCAAAAGTTGCGCTAACGGGTTAGGGAAAAAACAATAAAAAAAACAATCGATATAAATAATGACAAAAACGCATAAACTCCGTGGATCAACAAAGAAACGCGAATACGCTACTCGGTGGCCGAATATTACAATATCTGTTGTCTAACTGAAAAATGTTACAGTATATATTGCTTATTTGCTGTGTATCAGACTTGTAGTTAATTGAATTTTTGTTTTTGTTAATATGGCACATTTCAAGAAAGAGTCGGGCTTTATAACTGTTGACACATTGCAAAATTTTAGGATTGCTGTAGTCAAATTCATGTCCTGTTTTTATGTAATGTTCAACCACTGCACAAGTATTCTTATGAATACGGCAATGTGTTGTGTTAAATGTTGCTTCAACCACTGTGAGGTTTGTCCAATATAACAGCCTTGACAACCCAAACACGACAATCGATATATGACATTAGAGTTGCATAGTAGCGGAGTTGGATCTTTGACCTTAGAAAAAAGTTTTGAGACTTTTGCAGTATTATATTTGGCAATTTTTATTTTCTTGAATTCTTTGAAAGTATTTATGATACATTCTGTGAGGTTTTTAATATTAGGTATCCTTCTGTAACCCATCCGAGCGCCCGGTTCCTCTATTGGACCGTCAAATGTGTTGGAGTTATAGATTAATCTCTTAAGTATATGTTTTGGATATCCGTTATTGACAAAAATGTTGAAAATTTGTTTCAGGTTATTTTGAACAAAACTTTCATGGCTCAAATGTGTAACTCTGTTTTTCATGCCTATAATTGTATTATATTTTTGGCTCTGTGAATGAGAGAAATAATAATTTATAAATCTACCTGAGGCAGTTTTTTTCTGATACCAATCCAAAATAATTTAATTTTTCTTAGTTCTAATAACCTTGGTATCTAAGAAGGGGACATATCTGTCCTTTTCAAGTTCAATTGTGAATTGTAGGTTAGTGTTGAAAGAATTAAAAATACACAAGGTTGTTTGGTCATATGGTAGCGCGCAAAGGAGATCGTCAACATATTTATAAATAAAAAGTAAATTGAAAGGTAACTTGGGTATAATTTGAACTAGTAAATGGTCCAATACTAGGGTAGCAATTATTGAACTGATAGGAGAAGTCATTGGGGTACCAAAAATTTGTTTGTAGAATTTTGAATTGAAACTGAAATAGGTGTTATCAAAAATATCGATACAAGAAGAAATTCCAGGTGTTAGCATTGATGATGTGTTCTTATCAAGTGATTGGACAACTCTATGATTTTCGCCCCGTAAAGTTGATGAAGCAGTGGGCAAATTTGAACAGAAGTTTAGCAAGGAACAATAATAGAAAAATTTTCCTCTTACGTTGCAGAAGATCAAGATTGACACCTAGACACATTCAAGATAGGGGAAAGAAGATCCAAGGACTATTAATTGTTGGTAATGATATATCGACAGCAAACAGGATAGACAGACAGACATTAGTTTTAAAATATTGTCATTTGATATAAAAATGACATGCAACATTATTTCATCAAACAACACCACGTCAAATGGTCCGAAAAAACGCAGGTTTAAGGAAGCTGATTCATTAAAAACAATGGATACATCTTTGGCAAACCAAGCGTGAAAATGCCTGCAATTTTAGCAACCCTTAATATTAATGTTATGACTCAAAGTTATGTTTTTTTTTAAAGGAAGCACCGTGGCTATTTTTAGCTAATTAATTTTTTTTTCGCTTTCTAAATAACATGTTTCTACAATTAAATAAGTTTTGATGTAGTCACAAACGAGGTTTTACTAATAAAACAAGAGATTACTTCTTGTTAAAAGTCATCATTTACAAACAAAACCTAGATTAAGTTAAAAAAAATCCAGGTTTAATAAATGAAACATATCAGAACTAAGAAGTGTGATATGTTAGTCTGCTACCTACATTCCAACGAAAATTCGCTTGAGATACCTAGAGAGAACTTTCCCAGACAGGTTTTCTATACTTAAAAATAATTTAGTTATCTATGATTTATTTTTGAAACTAATCAAAATTCATTCTACAGTAACGAAGATCGAGAGGTAGGTGAGGTGGAAATTTGTGTGATGGATTGTTCGAGAGCAGAGTACAGCTAATTAAAAAAAAACACTATTTCTAAACTACTAAAATATTTCTGGAGTGGGCTACAGTGCGGCGTGTTCATTTTAAACAACTCTGTTATAGAATCCACCAAGGACTTTCTGCAAAGCGTCATCTTAACATTTTGAAAGCCGTTCTACCTACTTGAAAATGTTCTTTTGACTTCTTGAATCGTTTGGTTAAAGAAAATGGCGACCATTTTAAACATTTCTTTCATTCCTACATTAATAAATATACCAGATTTTTCTTTTATTTTATTATAGAAAAATGTAATTTATATCGGTATTTTTAAAACTAAATACTTACCACAATACATAACTGGTTAAACAGAAATATGCAGGGTGTACCATTTACAAATCATCTGGATTCCTCCTGCGTTAGTTGTTGATAAATCGAACTTACTGACGTTTCGCTAATCATCCTTCTCCAGAGCTTAAACTGAAACTGGCTCGCACGTTCTGCACTTGTTTGAGGGTGGCGGAGCTAACTGAATGAATTATTCGTGGTTAAGATTGTTTGTTTGTTGATAGATTTTTAGAGATTCTCGGGTTTTTCGTTGGTAGGGGAATTGACTACATACAAGAATTATAGTTTTATTGAATTAAATTTTATGTACGCTTTCGAGATTGTGTTCGGCAACTGCTGAAGAGTTTATTTGTCTATTTTTTGCCGGAATGCTGTATCTCTGGCATCTTAAACGAATCGAACATGTTGAAAGATTTTTGGAGAAGTGACAAATCTTGTTTTGAAGTTATAATTTTTTAAGAACTTTTGATATGTGATCAGTGATGTTTTGTATGTAAAGAAGGGCAACAATGCAACAAAAAGACCAATACAGAGTAGAGTGCGAGCCAGTTTCAGTTTAAGCTCTGAAGAAATCAACAGGATGACTGACCAAACATCAGCAAGTTGGATTCATCAAAAACCGACGCAGGAGGAATCCAGAAGATTTGTAAATTGTGTTCCAGCAGCCTGTGGAAGTTTCTTTGAAAAAATAATATACAGGGTATTTTTCGAAGAGTAATGTGTCTCATAATTGAAAAACGGAACACTAGGACAAAACTAGCCAAGCCACAAGTTTAATTTCAGAAACCGTGAAGCTATAAAAAAAAATACAGCATGTGGCGAAACCCACAACACTCTGTCGCTAAAAGTAAGCGAGATACCATACAAACCTGTCGCCGCAACGACACTAGTTGAAACACAGCGTTCAATTCAAATAAAAAAAGCAAGCATCTTTGAAATCCATCTTTGTTATTAGATAAAATCACATCCCCTCGAAAATAGGAATGCGATGCGGCGCGGCATCCTGCATTAGCCCGGGACGAAAACTAAATCTGTTTTAGCAACAGGCATGAGCAAAATTTATTCTTATTAAATTGAAAAGCTCCATCTCGTAGCGTCTTTATGAAATATTCAACAGAAACTAGTTTTTCAATGTCGGCAGTAAGATAAAGTAAATAGTTTCGGGTAGAAAGGACCGTTTAATGCTTTTTGCCTTTTTGTACTGCCAGTTGCGGGAATAATTCTGGAATAAAAGCATTTTGAGAGATTGGACCCGGCGAGCCGGCGCGAAATTTATCGTTTTGTCAGCGTTGCGATGGATGACTACGACTCGCGCGTTCGAAAAATTCGCTTTGAATGTGGTGCATATTATTTTCAGATGTTCAAGTAGGGCCAGGATCTGGACAACCCGTCAACGGAGCCATCCCAAGCCTGCCATCTCCTACAATGCCGACATTCAACATGGCCGCTCAGACTCCCAACGGACAACCGGCTGGTCAAGAACCAGTTTATACAAATGGAATCCCTCCGCAGACATACCCAGCCCGTAAGTAGCAATAAATAAATTTATGCAATAGACTTTCTTTTTCGAAATTTTTGGGAGCTAGAATTTTATTGGGTTGGTTGTATGAAAGCTGTGCAACGAAAAGTTTGGTGTGTTAGTGCTTGGTGGTTTGGTGTTTTAAGTGCGAAACTGGAGAATGACAGTTATTTAAGCTGGAAAGATGTATGAAGGGCTTATTCTTTTTTTTTTCTTCTTTTTTTTTGGCAGACTATTTTTCCACACATATTTTTGTTTTTCGGCTGGTCCACCTACATTATACTGCGTGCTGTCAAAACATTTAAATTCGGTAATCGGTTTATAATAGGTAAACATGAGACTTTTTTCTTATGAATATATGTCTTAACTTGCTACTTTATCGATACGCAGAGTGTCAAAGTTTGGTACAAGAAATTGTTTCTTTATTAATTATTTACAACCATTTTGACCATTTTTGATAAAACTGGACATATTTAAACGCAGTAACAGAGAGCTCCGTTTTCTTTGTCAACAACCAATTTTGTCAGGTGAGCGTGAAGGGAGTAAAATACGGTTGCTGTTTCATGAATTCGATCAATATTTTTTAACAGACGATGGAAAATATTGTGCTAATCCATTCATTTCCTGATTCCTTTAGATTGAGCTGTTATTATAACCTGCGTTTATAAGAAAGACAACAGTCTGGAATGATTACAAAACAACCCGAACCAAACAACATAGTATGAACTAAAATCATACCTCTCTCTTGATGAGCAAGCACAAACAACATGGTGCTAGTGAATAGCACATGTAAGCGTTCAGTGCTCACTTCCACTTTTATTTATGTGCTCTTAAATTGTTTAGGGTCTTTTTCATTCTGGTTTGGTCCACTGAAAAATAGATATACACCTCTAGAAGTAATTTTCAATTGTCAATTTATAACCTTTCCGTTGTACCTATTAGGTATCTGATTTCGATAAAAAGTACTGTGACTTTTTGTATAATTTTTTATTCTTTTAATACTTCTTATAGCTTTGGAAATAAGAAGTTCTTATGGATATATCGAAAATTTCTTAGGTTCAGAAAATTGCTAAATTCGTTTAGTTCCCTACCGAATTTAATTATTGTTTGCAGATCCGCTGCATCTGTCCATACCAGCGCAAGGACTACCGAATGGCGAAGCTGCCATGCAGCATCCAGCAGCATTTCAGACTATGCAGCCCGGGTACCCCGGAGTCGGTAAGCATAAATAGGTTTAATTGTTGGTTAGTTAGGACTTGCAAAAATGCATACTGGGGAATTTTTGGCAAGTCACATTCTGAATTATTATACGCAGTCCAAAATTTAAATTGTAACTTGTTGAAAGTTTTCCTCAATGGTCGACTTGGATATCTTGATTTTTTAAATGGATGTCTATCTACTCACTAGGACATGCATAGTTTAAGGACACTCTCTCGTTGACTTTAAGTCAGTAGAGGTTGCTCCAAAAGATCTTAGTGTAATAAATGTGGCTTGAATCACTTAAGTGTTTGCTGTTACACAAAAATTTCCGTTAAATGTGGCTTTATTATTTTCATTGTTTCGGATATCCTTTTAAGTACATTGAGTTGCGCTGCTTTGTCCTTTTTTCTTGGTACAGACCAAAGTTATCAAGCCCAACTTTTAAATCTTATTAGTTAATATGAAAATAAACACATTTAAAATTGCACTAAACTATAGTCCTCTGTACTTAGGCCACATCAATATTAATGTTCCCGTTTCTGCGATTTTAACTAATAGCTCAAACAGAATATACAATTGCATGATCTGTTGCATTAAAGTCTGGGTGTGATTTTTATGTATTTATTCGGCAGCTTACCCCGCAGTATATGGCCAATTCCCACAGGCCATACCCCAGCCAATGTCTGCAGTTGCGCCCGCTCAGAGGGAAGGTAAGTTATCACCTGCCCCAACGGTGCTGTATGTGTTTGTCCCGTATATGTTTCGCTTTAAGTGTGGAAAATACAGGGTGTTATGGAAACGATGCGTGTATTTTAACTAATTACTCGTTTTCCAATTAGTTGTCCAAGGGTATGCATATATTATCTAAGAAGATTGTGTTTTCGTTTCCTGAAATTATTATTCTATCTATATTGTGAAAATTTAAACTTGATTTACGTAATTTATTTTAGTAGCGTTCCGGAGTGTTGCATTATGAATGTTATCTTTTTTGTCTTCCTTCACTTTAACCGAGAAAAAAAAAATAAAACTATGTTTATAGTTATTCAAGCAACTCTTTGTTGTATTAAAAAAAAAAGTTCACAGGGACTTAAGACGTAAATCTTCGCTGACTGGGGATCGCAATTATTCTAAAGGTTTAAAAATTGTCTTCTGTATTCGTTGGTCGGCCAAAACGATAAATATTATTTATGTATAGTGTTTCTCTCTTCAGGGTGCTCGATATCCGGGCCCGAAGGCTGCAACCTATTCATTTACCACTTACCTCAAGAATTTGGTGATGCAGAACTAATGCAAATGTTTCTTCCCTTCGGCAACGTAATCAGCTCCAAAGTTTTCATCGACAGGGCAACCAACCAGAGCAAATGTTTTGGTAAGAGACAAACCAATACACGTTATCGACGAGCTTATAACTACATAGCGACCGTTTGTTACAGGATTCGTATCGTTCGACAACCCAGCTAGCGCGCAGGCTGCCATCCAAGCGATGAACGGCTTTCAGATAGGCATGAAACGACTCAAGGTGCAACTAAAGAGGCCAAAAGATGCCAACAGGCCCTACTAACCCATACAAAATCCAGCCACTATTGAACAGGGCTGTCAGCCGCTTATAGTATACTAGTCTTTAGTTTGTACTTAACCCAAGATATATGCTAAAAATACAAAAAAGCTAAATTTCAATTTAATAATATGTATGCAGGCCTGGCATTCCAGCTCCGAGCGTTTCAATGCCCGCGGCCTTCCACCATAAACAAACTAAGTGAAGAAAACTCATTTTAGTTGACTAGCCCAGTGGTTTTAAGGAAGCGTAGGAACTGCCAAATCGCCTGCTCATTAAGTCGTGATTCGATTGGAACGGAAGCGCAGTTTGTCTTTATCTTGCTTAATACTGCTCGGCTACGACACTACTCGAGAAATTCCAAATGGGCTGTGAATAATTAACAAATCGGTGTTTGTTGTACAGGCCGTTTCGTCTTCTCGTACCTTTGTGAAGTGTGTAGTAATCGTTATTTTAAAAAATACCCTAATACGTTTATGATATAGACAATGTGTGTTTTACTGTAACAAAGCAAAAAGAAATATATTATAAAGCATAGTGATGTTTGTGGTGGAAGGCATTCGCGCCCCATCCGTTGCCAAAAATCCTGTGCCAGGCGTGCCAACTGTGATTCACTGTTCTAGTCACAGACGAGCTCGGAGAAATATTTATTAACTTTTAAAAATTTGTTCATAATAACAAAAAAGATACACTAAGAGGCCGTTCGGCATATATTTAATTATTAACAACTACTATACAAAATAGTATAATATTTCTACTACATTTTAAGCATAATCTTTACAAAGTACCAACTATAATATACTTACTCTGTAAATTTTTAGAAGTAGTGATTACATTTAGGTTAGGAAAGGAGAAAATTGGTTTTTACCTGAACGAGGGTAACCGTTTCTATCGACAGAAGTTTCAAAACGTTCGTTTGTTGGTACGGAACGAAAAACACTGGCAAGTGTCGCCCGAAGCTGTCACGTCTCGAATGATTTTCACGCACGCACGTGCGTCTGTGATAGTTTTTTTTTGCCATATACGTTGTCGTATATATCGGGCTGCATCAGAATTATTAACGTTTGAATATTGCTCGATAGAAACAGACCGGAACCGATATGTATCGATTTTAGAAAAATGCGTTCGATGAATTTTATCAATTTCTAAGTTTATATTATAAATTATTGAAATATCAAATATTGCGAATTTCGCCAAAATAGTTGTTGAATTAAAACGTTAGATTCGCGCGCTTCGCGGGGCTAGACTAAGTCAGTCCGTTGGCGGAATATGGAAGAAATTGTTATTGGGACCGCTGTTACTCAAATTAGCCACGGTCAGGAAAAGCAAGCAAAAGTCAAACAAAATAATTTCGAAAATGTGCTAAAGATTTCAACCAGCCATTAATTCAAAATATAATCAAAACGTTAACGCAAAGCCCAAAAAAGTTAAACATACCCCGTGTAGTTGCCAGGATCAATGTTAAATTAACGTTTCCTTGCTTTTTGCTACGTAATCACAACGAAACAGAATGCTTAAAAAATCGGCGAAAAAATATTATTAGGAAATTTTAATTGATTATTAAAATAAATTTATTTTCAAATATTTTTGAAAAATGAACATTTGATATATTGATTTTCTTTATAGGAAAGTTTGGAAAATCCTCGGCTCTACTGTGGCAAATTGGGGTAACACAATTGTCCCTAAAAAGTGTTTGTTTGGGCCACTCACTAGTCAAATTACTCTGCCTCTCGGCTGCAGAACTAGTTAATAATTTTAGAATTATTTTTAATCTTAAGATATACATATATATTTAGTAGACATATGATAATATTTATTAAAAGGTATTTAGTCTTACATACTTATAAAGTACTTATAGTTCGCTTATGTTTAAGTATTTTTATTTCGCGTTTATTGGCTGACAAATTATCGTGCAATATTTTTACCGATCGACTGATACATCGTAAGATGAAAAAACGTACTTATTTATTTAAAAGTAATTCAATTTGTTGGTGGGGTGTGTCGGGAAGCAGATCAGTTTTTGTTTTATTGTTCCAAGCATTTCATTCCATTAAATATGTAAGATACAAGTCCAATATTAACAAAACTCAAAAGACGAATTGGTTTCATAGAACATAAAGCGCACATAATCCCAGTAAAGTATGACAATAACTTTGACGGTACGGCACGGTACGACATAAAACCGAAATAAATCTGCTTTCGGTTCTGGTAAATACACCCCTTGAACCTGTCAAAATATTACGTTTGTCTTTTGTATATTGTAGAAAAGTCCCGCTTGATTTACAACATTCCTTTTTCACTGCAAAAGTCGATGTGGTGCTCGAAAATTGATGATCCATAATATTGGGTTAGTACTGTACAGGCAATTTGCCTGTATATGTCCACATCGCTTTAAAAAAATGGGAGTACGTTTGGCAGCTCCTACTTGATAACTTTTTGTATAAATAAAATAAAACATTTTCTCCAATCAATAAGAACAGTGTAAAGTAAATGTTTAATATGCGGCATTTAGAAAACAAACGGGTTTGAAAGAAAAACTTTTTTATTTAGTGGCCTAAGCAACCTATGTGTTATTGATTTAATCCGGAAATCAATAGGTATGATCAATAAATAGCGACTTTCCACTTATATAGATGGTAGTTAATATTCGGTTTTGTGTGCAATCGAATAGCTGATAGTTCAGGAAAAACTCTTTACCCGTTTGTGTTCTTCATTATAGTAAAAAAAAGTTTACTAATCGCAGCGAACGTGATTTCAAGGATACAGGGTATGTTTTTGCAATTATTTGTTGTAAAACTGAATCGCATCATTGATGGGCGGTCATTGTGTTCCATGATCTCCCGAAACTAACACACGTCCGCTGACACATTCAGGATCTTCGCTAGTTCGTGTGTACACCCCTAGTGTTGTCAGCAAAATACAAATTTAAAAAATATGCGGAGCAGAAAATCATTCTAGCTTTGCATCCGCCATTGCGTCGTTTTAAATAAAAATGCTAATTGAAGTACGTAAGTGCCAAATGAAATCTCTGCTGTAAAGAATGATGGCAAATTCGCTAAATATATTAAATTTTCTGTTGTTTAAAGAGTCGATCGGTGCCAAACTAAAATGCAACCACACTGACGAATTTTCTTTGTAGTAATGGCGACGTATTTCGATTTGAGGCAAAGAGGGGCGTATACACATAGCGCATGTCATTTACCATTTTGTAAATAATCTTCGGGGTCCATTATGAAGCATCTCCACCCAAAAATCAAACATTCAAAATTTGTCGACGTTGTATAAATTTCTCCCGCAAAATAGTCATCGCGTTTTCGGTTTTTGTCTAATTAAAATAGGCTAAATGAACTATTTTTTAAATGCGCTTAAAAAATTGCCAACGGTTTAACGCCGGGGGCGGCTTGCGGAACAGCCGAGGCGGCAAAAGTTTTCGTCAAAACTTGGGCCGCTGTCGGACCGAAGATGAGTTCTTCGGATCCGCATATTTCACCGTGCATATATTTATATCATTAACAAAAATTGAATATGAAAATTATTTTTAGCCGTAAATAGGTTAGAGTTAGGTTTTTAGAATTTAGTGGTTATTTATAAGAAGTATGGCATTTGAACCCAGCTGAAGGCGTTATTTGTTTAGGGAAAAATGAGTATCTGGAAACGGCAATTTCCAGAAACAAAGACACTGAAGCAAGGTTGGTACTCATATTCACTGCAGATGTTCATGACTGTACCCGCAAAACCCAAAGACTTAAGACACACTATGTTAAGTTCTAGCCCAACACCAGGATGCTGGGACAAATGGTGTGAAAACATTTGCTTGCTTTTAAATCCTAAAAAAATATTTAGCCTAGAAGCCTATTTGACGGTTTTGCTGTTTTTGTTTAAGATTTTATAGGCTTAATATTCACACAATTTATTATTAGGACAGCTAATGCCATAAGAATTTAACACTGAGAATCTGATGTGATGATTGCGTTTAATTTATTAGCGTGAATATTGGCTCATAAGCTTGAAAATCATATCATGGATTTTTGTAATATAGTTAAAAAAATGTACAATTTTTACACTGCTGTGCTATATTTTCTACACTTTTTCTAGTCATCTGTGTACTTTTTGATTTCAGCATTTATTTGATCTCTATTTGACTGTATTTATTTATTTATTTATTTATTTGGGTGTACAAAGTGAGTCTTGCCGAATCGCCAAAGAATTTTATTTTGTTTGTGTAATTGTTGAAAATAGAGTTTGTGCAACTGTTGTTGATCATGAGCACGTTTTTAAAAATTGTTTACGCTTTTTATACAGTATTAAATACCCGCACAAAAAGGAAATGTGGAACTAAATGGGTACCCGATTGGTGTGGTTTCATTAAAAAAAAAAGTATAATTGTATTAATTCCCCGGCAAAGAAGTTTTACTCAAAATATTACGTTCTCGTAATTTTAAGAACATTTCCTTAATAATTGATTTTGAGTGGAAATAAAGTTTCAAAGTTTTGTCAAATGATTACCCAATGCCGATGTTTCTTTTAGCTAAACTGCCTTAATTGTCTCTTTCTACTTGAGAGGTGAAACTGATAAATCTTAGAAGGCTTACAGCTGTTACAATAGTTTGACAGAATTTTGAAATAATCTAAATTATCTGGAGATAAGCCATACTCTGTTGCATGACTTTTATTAAATTTTACATTACATATAAATTTAATAAATTATTAATATTATTATATTCTATATAGTAGTTTTAAACTTAAACAAAAATATTTATAGCCTGCTAATACGATATAATGTAAAAAACATATGATTACTTTTAGACAATGAATGCGTGAAAAACTTTCTATCCATGTATGAAAATATAATTATCACTATTTTTTTTACACTGTCAATTTTGCTGGTGTTTTTACATTAACGATTACATTTAAAATAAATGAGGAAATCATTAGTTTTACAAATCGTAAATACTTAATATATCAGGATTTAATAATATATTGTATTATACAGTACCTATTGTAATTTTTGACATAAGAATCGCTAGTCCAACAAAAATTTTAAAAAATACACGACATGACTGAGCTTTGAAAAATGCTCAAGACTCTTTACATAATCTTTGAAATTATTGGAAATTTTCCTCGAAAGGTCATGTCTACTATATTTATTATTAATACTAACTTTGACCTTAAATTAACCTAATTCAGAAATACGTATATATATAGGGCGTCTCAAAATGGGATATTTTCTTGTATCTGAAAGGACATCCATTTCGAGAAGGCTTATGCAAATAGAAAGTTAATAACCTACTATGAATTTATTAGTACGATAGTTACCAAACTGAATTGGGTTATATTTAAGTAATTTAGTTCATATAAAACTTTATAAAAGAATTATAAAATAATAAAGTTAATTATAACGCAAGTTGCTTTTTATTTCTGAATATGCAAATTTGATAAATATGTATAAATATGTGTCTATATTATTATATTGAAGCTTCAAACAAAATATAAATATTTTCAAAATCCACTGGTTCATCCCCGCAGGTAAACCATAGGACAGGAAAGGGCTCTGACCTCAGAATGGTAAAAACCAGAAAAATAAGACTCTGCCGGTTTTACGTCTTTGCGCTTGTAGGCCGCGTAACGCGTTTAATTAGTCCATTCATTATCCATGCTGTCCAGAAAACTCTCTAGACAATCAATGGGCTATCATTTTTGTACTACTTCATTCTCGGATATAATATAAAATGATACAAAATTTAGGCGCGAAGTTTAAGAGATAAATTTTTATGCATATTGGAAAGAGATAATAAACCTAATTTCAAGGATTCCAAGAATATGTTTTTGTAGTATTATTTGAAATGCTAGTTGAAGGCTACCGTGAAAATTTACAAATTAAAATTAGACCGATATAATCACATTCCGTTATGTTATAGTTGATTTGAATCGAATTATATGTATGCACAGAATAAGAAGGATCATTACTTACCAAAAACTAAAATTCATATGCTTTCGTTAATTCTTACAAACGTTTATTGTACAGGGCTAATTGCACATTAATTATTACTGGTGTAGTTCTTTTTGGATTTTAAAAGAATTTTATATGGCGTACAAAAGTTTTACATGTCTGGATTCCAAAATGACGTCTAAAAGTCTAACATTTGTAGAGTTCAATGGATATCGACAAACTAGGGCAAGTGCGAATCCCGGGCATCCATTGGTCAGCCTATTTGTCTACAACGGGCGGGCGGTTCGTTGGATTGACAATGGCTTACAGTGTGCTATTTGGGAAACTCAAAGAGAATATTATGTAACAAATTTGATAAATGTCACCTTAGTCACTGTTAAAATGACAAAACGGAATTCTCCTAATTGAATCTTTATTACAAACATGTGCTATCGTTCTGTGTTCCTTTTAGTTTCTGGTCAAACAAAACACAGACCGCAACCAAAAGGCACAGAATACAAAATAGACATTGCCAACTTAACTCTAAGATAAAAAATCATAATTTAACATACCTCCTTGATTTTGTAGCCTAAAAAAAGAGATTCATTAATTGCCAAACACATTTGTTATTTTCATTGTTGTTCACTGATATTAGCCATATCTGAGTGCGCAGTTTTTGAAATTTTTCTTTTCCAAGTGATTTTGTAAGTATATCCGCGAGTTGATCGTCAGTGTTTACTTTGACATCAATTAGACCTTTTTTTTGTAAAAATCGTTAATAAAATGATAACTTAAGTTAATGTCTTATGAATTCTGTGAAAATTTGACATGTTTTGCTCCTGTGTTGTCTATAAATTTTTATTGGAGTTTTAATTTCAATACCTAATTCCTCCAAAATACCTAAGTATTGTATCATCTTACAGAAATCACTCATTTTAAAATTTTTATTTAATTTATCCTTAACATAATTGCATTTAAATTGACTAAAAATTAATAAGTCATCAACATACAAAATTACATATATTGGTTTTTGATCAGTTATTCTTATATAAAAACAATAGTAATAATATGAGCGCACAAAGTTAAAACTTAATTTGAAATTTATATATATATATATATATATATATATATATATATATATATATATATATATATATATATATATATATATATATATATATATATACAGTGTGTCCAAGATAAGGATGCACAGCATGGGGATCTCGGAAACTATAAGAGATACAGTGTCGGTTAAATTAGACAAAAGTTGCGCATTTTGATACCGAACAAGATCCCGTTTTACAAATTTGAAAATTCCAAGCCGTTCCGGAAATATCCGAGAAAAACTGAAATATTGCGATTTCGTTTTTATTATTTTTTAAAGCTATTTGAAAAGATATGAAAAAACGGAAAACACTTTTCCATTGGCACTTTTTAATCTCTCCAAATTGACGTTAAGAAATTTTCATTACAGCGTTTCGATTCCATGGAACCACCATCAACTTTGATTTTTCTTATGGGACGGAAAAAAAGTACACACAGTATTAGCTTGTGCTTTTCATTGCGAATTCAACGATGTACGATACAATACGGTTACTTATGTTTTTATCCAGAAAAATGGCTTTTTAATACATTTCTAGTATTTTATTGTAGTAGGCCATGAGATCCGAACGATGAAAGGCAAAAGAAAATGGTTGACAAGTTCGAGTTAATGTGTTTATTTATTTACTAACTCTAACTGTTCATTTAACATAACAACTAAATCCAACAAGTTAATGAAAAACAAATTCTATAACAAATGTTCGAATAAATGACCTCCATTTTCTAGGCATAAGTACGCCCGTCTCACGGTAGACTCCAAAACACGACTTAACATTTCAGGAGTAATTTTATTAAACGCTGCTCGTACTGATTGACGTAATTGTTCCTCGTTGTCAAAACATTCTTTGAATACCTCATTTTTTATGTAGCCCCATAAGAAAAAGTCCAAGGGAGTTAAGTCCGGGGACCTTGGAGGCCAAGGTGTTTCACTGTAAGTCCCAATGTATTTTCCATCAAACCGTTCAGTTAAATATTGGCGAACTTCTCTGGAGTTATGGGCTGGGGCACCATCTTGTTGGAACCAGCAGCCTTGCACAGCGCCTAGCGGTAAATCATCTAAGGCATCTTCTAAATCGTGCCTCAAGATGTCAAGGTACCGCTCGGAAGTTAAGGAATTATTATAGAAAATAGGGCCTATAATCTTGCTACCAAAAATCCCACACCAAATATTAAACCCAAAGCGAACTTGATGTCTGGATAGTCTATTAACACGTGGATTTTGTTGCGACCAATAGTGTGTATTGCGCCTGTTATAAATACCGTTATTGGTCACCATACTTTCATCAGACCAAATCACTTTATATGGAAAATTAAAACTCTCATCACACATCCTGGTATACCACTCACAAAAATGTCTACGTCGTTCGTCGTCACCCGGTTTTAATCCTTGACATATTCTGAATTTGTAAGGCTTAAATTCATTTTTCCTTAAAATAAACTGAGCTGTAGATTTAGCTACCCCATTCTGGTCTTCAATTTCTCTGGTAAAAGTTTGTGGATTTTCGATAACAGATTGTAGAACAATGTATTGGTTTTCTTCATTGGAAGGTTTTTGTCGGGATAATGCAGGCTTCTTAAATGATCCATATTCTTTCAGATTAAATAACAAACGCCGAAAAATACTCTTGTCAGGTTGTCTCCGCTCTGGGTATTTGTTAGAATACATACGCTCGGCTTCCACACAATTTCTTTGGCATCAGATGTAGCAAGACAGCATATCACATTTTTCTTCGTTTGTAAAATTACCTCCCTCCATTGTAGAACAAAATAAATTAGAAAAAGACAACAACAATAAAAATACAAAAACAATAACTAAAGGAATAAACTTATGATCGACTGATAACAAAGACAAATAACATTAATGTGTCATTGAAATTGACTGGATGTCATTTTGTCATGGCCTACTCCATTTAAATGCTGAAATGTATTAAAAATCCATTTTTCTGGATAAAAACATAAGTAACCGTATTGTATCGTACATCGTTGAATTCGCAATGAAAAGCACAACCTAATACTGTGTGTACTTTTTTTCCGTCCCATAAGAAAAATCAAAGTTGATGGTGGTTCCATGGAATTGAAACGCTGTAATGAAAATTTCTTAACGTCAATTTGGAGAGATTAAAAAGTGCCAATGGAAAAGTGTTTTCCGTTTTTTCATATCTTTTCAAATAGCTTTAAAAAATAATAAAAACGAAATCGCAATATTTCGGTTTTTCTCGGATATTTCCGGAACGGGTTGGAATTTTCAAATTTGTAAAACGGGATCTTGTTCGGTATCAAAATGCGCAACTTTTGTCTAATTTAACCGACACTGTATCTCTTATAGTTTCCGAGATCCCCATGCTGTGCATCCTTATCTTGGACACACTGTATATATATATATATATATATATATATATATATATATATTCTCACGTATTGATTCACGGATGGAAAAATGTGATGACACTATACTCCGGGATATCATCCGTTCGCTCGTTGAACTCCGACTGGAATCCTGCAGACGTTTCGCCAAAATCTCACTTGGCATCTTCAATGCTCGCGAAAACACTATATATATATATATATATATATATATATATATATATATATATATATATATATATATATATTATATATATATATATATATATATATATATATATATATATATATATATATATATATATATATATATATATATATATATATATATATATATATATATATATATATATATATATATATATATATATATATATATATATATATATATATATATATAATAAAACTTTAAAAGTACACATTCTTGCTAGCGGTGAGTATATTTCTTCTTCTTCTTGGTATAATTGTTGAAATTCTTTTGCGACTACTCATGCTTTATATTGTCCATTTGTCCATGTTTCATTCTCCTCTAAACTTCTTATTTCTTCACTCATTACATTCTTCCATTTCTTTGCTTCTGCACCATTCATTGCGTCTTCATAACTTTCTGGAAATAAAACGTTTGTAAAATTAACATAAATGTCATAAACATCATATCGTTTTGGTAGATTAACTTGTCTCTTTGGTCGACTTAAATCTAATCTTTCTGTGCTTTCTTCATTGTCTTTTTTCTTCGGTGAGCTTTCTACCTCCTGAACCTTATCTCTGGCCATTTCTTTAACTTCTTCATTTTCTTCTGAATTGTCACCTTCATAGGAAATACTTTCCCTTAACTCATATGTCTTGTATCACTTTCAATAAATTATACATTTCTACTAATTATTACTTTACCGTTAACTAGAATTTTGTAGGTCGGTGTATCATACTAAGATTCCTTTGACTGCTTTTGGATTTAATTTTGAATCTCTACATTCTTCTGGAATTCTAACAAATGCGGTGCTTCCATACAAGCGTAAATTAGATACATTGGGTTTTTTATTAAAAAAGATTTCATAAGGTGTTTTTTGAACTTTTGTGTTTGCTAACAAACGATTTCCTATATAGGCAGCTGTTCAAATACATTCTGGCCAATAAGTTTTATCAAGTTTTGCTTCAGCTAATAAACATCTAGCACGATTTTTAATTGTTCTGTTGTATCTTTCCACTACGCCATTTAACTCATGAGTATAAGGAGGTCCTGGTCATAGATATATTCCTTCGTTGTTAGTGAATGCGTAAAAATCTTTATTTATATATTCTCTGCCATTATCATAATGAATTTCTTTTATTTTCTTTCCCGTTTGATTTTGAACTAATTTGACATATTGCACTAATCGATCAAATACTTAATTTTTGTGTTTAATACAATAAACTACCGCAATTTTACTGAAATCGTTAATAAAACTTACAAAATATTTTGCACCTTCATAGCCTTCCTGTTTTATTGGACCGTGCACATCTGTATGAATAATCTCTAGTATATCATTTGGTTTACTTCTTTTGTTTTCAAATTTTAGATTCGACATTTTGTTTTCACATTTTAAAAATTCATATTCTAGTATATTTGGTAAACTCTCGGCTAATTGTAAATTACAAATCAATTTTAAATTTTCAAAATTCGTGTGACCTAACATAATATGCCATTTTTTCTTCTTTGTCATTTCTTGCACATTTGTATGATAAAATTCTGCATTTTTATAATCATAAACATTGGTAGTTAGTTCATATAACTTATTGCTTTTTGTGGCTATGGCAATTAATGTACCTTTACAATAAAAAATTTTAGCATTATACTTGGAATAATGAAATTATTCTGCTTAGTAATACAAGACAAACTTAACAAATTAAGTTTCATATTTGACACAAAATATACATTTTTAATATTACCTATCTTTTTCTATGTCACCTACTTTGACATTTACTGGTTTTGTAAGATTTATGAATTCTGAAAAATACTTATCAGTCAGTGTTTACTATGTGGTCCGAACAGCCACTTTCCAACAGCCATGCAATGTGATCTTCTTTTGCTGGGGAATCTTCAGTTTTTGTCATCATAACCTCCATATGGAATGTGTAATTGCTGTCCATATCTTCTACTTTTGATGTACTTGCAACATGTCGACTGTCTCCTTCTCTTCGTTGATAATTTCATCGGTCTTATGAATCACTTCTGCAATATTTTTAAATGTGCCCTATCCGAAAGCACTTGTAACATTTAGACTTTCACCCTGTAATTTGCTGAACTTCCTTGACTTCTTGATTGCTGACTTGTGTTTGAATAACTTCTTACTCCTCTCAAGGTGCCTCTCTGATTTCTTCCAAGTGAAACTTGTGATGTTTCATTTGCTCTATTACTCTCTCGTTTTTGAAATTCTATATTTAGTTTTGATTTGATGTACTCTACTGATTTTTCTTTTTCAGATTAAGCATCTATAATATCGACTATATGAGAAAAACTTTCTGGCAGCGCAAGCAGTAAATAGTTTAGTTTGTCTTCATGGGTTATGTCCATTTTATTTATTTTATTATTTATTTCCATTTGTCCTACCCGGTTCTATCAAATACTTGCAAGATCAGTTCGTCTTTCTTTTCAACAGCCATTTTACTTGAAGAAATCTCTTCTCGATTTTTGATTTTTCAATAACCAGGGACCTCTGCTACCATTTTCAATTGATAAAACGGAATTCTTCTAACTGAATCTTTATCACAAACATGTGCACCACCAGAGTTCTATCGTTCTGTGTTCCTTTTAGTTTCTGAGTTTCCAAACACCATAAACAAATGTTATATTTGTTAACCGTCACGAATACATTCACTGAATGGTTGACGTGGCCGTCACAATTGACAAATGTCAAGATACTGTCACAGTGGTTAAAATCTACTGTTCTTCACTCTAAAATACCCAGTTATCTACTGACCCGGCATGCGCTAAATGTCATTTTAAGACATCAGCTTCGTTAAACTTTATATATTATGCATATTGTTGTTGGAAGTTTATAAACGTGTTTCAAATTATACTTTTTCTTCGAACAATGGATTTAAATTTTTTCAAGAAAAAAAAATTCTTAAGTCTTGAAGTAACATTTTTTTCGTATGTCTGATGACTGGATAATTGGGTATTTTCGAGTAGTGAACAGAAACAATATATTATGTTTATTAAAACTACGATTTTGTTATTTGTCTAAAGAACAATACCTAGTTCTTAATTTCAATATATGGAGGAAAAAACTTCGCTAGTCTTACTTCTGTTATAATGACCTGGGGAAGTTTCTTTAAACAAAAAAAAGATATAAAATACTGACTACAAATACTACATTTGCATTTATCATCATGCCGTGCCGTTTACATTTTTCAATTCATATTTTATGACGTCACAATAGTGTTTCGAGGAACGAGCGTCATCTCATGTACTCTCGGTGTCAGTTCGATGCACTAACTAATCTGTTTGCTATGGCAACGGATACGTAACCATAGACCTTAAAATAAACGCACAACGCATGGACGGTCAACAGAGCATAGCTACACGCCATTGGTATTGCGTTTTTGACCACAAACGTACATATATGTGACACGCCTCTCAATTCAAGTATTTGAAATTTGAAACTAGTTGCATTGTTAATCAAATTTTTAAAGCACTAAAACGACAACAACAGCTAAACGATCTGATTGTTGCATACAAATTACCCTTGCTGTTATTATCTTAGTATACTTTATAAACTGACAAAAAAAACGCCGGATAAACTGCCCTCTACTGTATGGCAAAAAAATTGAAAAAAAAATTGTAATTTGGTTATCGTTCATTTGTATTAACGGAATCTTTATCGTGACTCGAAGCGAACCTATAAAGTACCATTTTCTTTGCAGAATCCTCGACGGTCGTCGATAAATACGAATATAGCAGCTGGTTCCTCCGTTTGTGGAGCGACGAAGAAAAGAAGAAGAAGGATTTATTTTCAAACGTCAAACGTCGTAAGTTATCTATGAATTGGTACAAAAGTTAATTATTGAGTAAGATTGGAACGTATTTTATGTGTTTCAATAAAATTTGATTAATAAGTTGACCAACGTATGGCAGATATATTTGCTTAAGTATTAGTTTATTTATTTATTGACCTAATCAGTTTCAAATTTTTAAAAATGATTAATATTATTGTATTGGAAGGGCCAGTTCTGACGAACAGATGAAATAATATGGATGATTATGAAGATGAACCAGATATTAACGAGCAGATTTTCCATAACAATGTCAGGGAACAAATAGTGAGTATTATGTTGTAGTTTTATTGATTGGTTAAATATATATTCAATAAATATTTAATTAATGCAACTTAAAGAGTCAAAGGGACCACAAACAACGTATCCCTGATTTATACTGTTTTATAATCATTTTTAACAAAGCTTTGGCTATATAAGCGCATTCCACAAATATCATGAGTAGATTTGTAATGATCATCATATTACTTTAATTTTAATATTCAACTATGTATCTACCTGTCTAGAGTTGAATTCGAGAACACCTGAATTTTGCCAAACTATAATTATCTGATCTTGTTTTCATAGGACCAAAGAAAGTGATTTTTTAAACTTTAAATAAAATTGAGTTGCTTCTTCTTAGAATGTAGTTATTGCAAATGAAATCAAAAAGGCAATTTGAATTTTTTTTCCTTGATTTCGATAATATTAATATGTTATGCTGGACGAGTTGCTAAATATAAACTCGTCAGTTATTTGTATTGTTTATGTTTATTTATAGATTGAATTTGAAGGCTTGAAGGTCATTGATTAATTATAGCCGCCTACATATTTTATAAAGCTATTGTGTGCAATGTAATGATAAATTGTGTTTAGGACTCATATACCATTAGATTAAGATTTAATGGAATAAGTCACATAAAATATATTTGACCCAGAATGATACTGTAATGTATGTAATTGAAATGAGGTCATAAAACTGTAAACGTCTTAAAGATTTCCACTAGATTTATTGCCAACCATTATTCAGTTTACCCATGCACAGTCACAGTTACTGATGTTTAAAGATCTACTTAACAGAAATATTTGATTGACCTCAATGCATTATTATATTATACTTTGTCAACAATGGTTATTGTTTAAAACTAGTGAAAATTTAATATTTTTTTCAGATATTTCTGCTCCTTTTCTTAATCCTTTATATAGCTAGTTTTGCCCTGTTAAATCAGTTCAAAAAAAGAGGTCGGGAAGATTACATAGATGAAGATGAAATAACAGTCTACAGAATAAGCACCTGGCTTTGCACATTTTCTTTAACTGTGTCTGTTGGGGCTGTTCTATTGTTACCTATATCCATAATTGCCAATGAAGTGCTTGTGAATTATCCAAATAGTTATTATGTAAAATGGCTGAATTCATCTCTGATACAAGGTAATTGTTTACACTTTATGTTGACTTTATTAGAAGAGGTGGGGTTTTAGGTCTCTGGAATTATGTGTTTCTATTCTCCAATCTATCCATGTTTGTTCTACTGCCCTTTGCCTATCTCTTTACAGAGTCTGAAGGATTCTTTGGACACCGTAAGGGTCTATGGGCTAGGGTACATGAAACCTTTATTGTTTTAATATTACTAACTATAGTTGTTCTTGGGATGGCTTATGTTATGTCGTCCCTTATTAATAGTGACCATTCCAATGTTTATGCTATTTTAAGTGAGTATTGGACTTCAGAATGTCCGATTTATTCTGACTGACCATGTTTTAGATGTGTGGATCTATTTACCTTTTTTGTATTCGTGCATATCTTTCCTGGGGGTGCTAATATTACTTGGTAAGGTTTTTATTAATTTTTTGACATTTGAAATTTGTTATGATTAAGTTTTATTTTTCAGTTTGTACACCATTGGGTTTTGTTCGTCTCTTTGATGTTGTTGGCCAGTTTCTTATAAAACCGCAATTTCTACGCGATTTAAATGAAGAATATTTCGCTTGTGCCTTGGAAGAGGAATGCTTGAGAAGAAGACTGAAACACGCCCAAATGACGGGCAAATACTGTATTAGTCCCACTCCAATTTTATCTACCAGTCCATTGTATGAAGATGATTTTAAACTGCCCGATAATTTTTTAAGATTGAGGAATGGAGAATTACAGACTGGACTGGGAGGTAAACTCCATGAAATGGAGATGAGACGAAAGTTGTTGGGTATATTAATTAATAAGAATGCTCGGATGATGTTTATATTACCACATATTTTAGATAGACAACGTAAGACTTCATCTTTAAGAAGAAATGTTGTTTACCCCATATCAATGTTGCTGCTCATTGGTTTGACAGTTATTGCTGTACTTCTAGTGGTGCAGAATACATTGTCATTACTAATTGGCATTAAGGCATTGCCAAGTAGTTCAAAGGTAATTAAATTGTCTTATCTACTGGCTATATATTTTAAATAAAAATGTTGCAGCAATTTACTCTAGGTGTAAGTTCATTATCCAAACTTGGTCCATTTGGGGCCGCTTTGGAAATTGTTATAATTATTTACTTCATAGTAACATCATCGATAGGTCTTTACACTGCTCCCTGTATGAGAAACATGAGGCCTACAAAGAAAAATACACCATTTATGCTTGTGATAGCGAATTGCGCTTTGGTGTTGATAATAAGCTCGGCCTTGCCATTGTTATCAAAAATATTAGGTAAGAAAGCCTTTTGTTTATGAATATTTGTTTATGAGATTTCTTTTCTTCTGTCGATAGGTGTAACCAATTTTGATCTCTTAGGCGATTTTGGTAGTATTGAATGGCTGGGTAATTTCCAAATTGTACTTCTGTACAACATATTATTTGCATTTGCCGCCTCATTATGCATCGTCAACAAATTTACAGCGAAAGTAAGGAGGGAACTTTACGCCCGGTTAGTTGAGAATTACATATTCCTTACTAACTGTGTATCTTTCCTTAATTAACTATTGTTTCTTGTTTTATTCTGGCTAATCAATCATCCTTTTTGGAGAGTGTAACCAAAAATTGACATCAACATCTACTTTCCTAACTCATCTGTAGCATTATAACGCTATATGCATAAGACTGATAAAGAATTGTATTTGTCGCTTAGTGAAGCTGTTTGTCTAAGTTTGGTGAGAAATGAGGAAAATGAAACATGACATTTACTATTTAAATAGTAGATATTGTTAGCAATTCACGTTTGGAAAATTGTTACAATCGGTGATGCACATTTTTGGACCAGGTTATTGTTTTTGGAAGGCACTATTTTGTGAATGAAGTGGAACCATTGATTTGCAATATATCTTGCGAAAAGAATACTATATTATTATAGTATACCTGCTAAGGATATTTTGGAATTAATCTTTTAAACTGAATTGAAGGTTAGTGGTTCAGCTTTTCCGGATTAAAGTATCTGTATCTTTTCGCATCCACTGGCAAACTGGTTCAATAAACTAAGTTCAATTAAAATTTTCTAGTTGCAACACTTCTTGCAAATTTGATCCAATTTATTGACATAAAGAAAAATAATTTTATTATATTCAAGAATTGTCGAGCAATTAGGGCTTTTCAGTACAAAGGTTTCTTTCTTAAATAGATCCTGATTTTTCTGATGCAGTTTAAGCGAAAAGTTACTTAACTTAAATCAAGTTAAATTCTCTAATTTGTTCAAGTAGTTGAATTTCTTATATAACCTGATTTTGTTCCTATTGATGAGATTTGCTACCTCCACACATCTAATTAATTATAAACACTTGTTGAGAGTAAAAAACTATTTGAGTTAATCTAAAAATAAATGGTGTGTGTTAAAGAAGTCATCCTGCCACATTTTCACAGAATATAAACCATTGCCAAGCCAAGTGACGTTTTCTGACAAAATCGCAAAAAATATCTGCGAATTATAAAAATATTTAGAACCTTAAACAAAAAAGATTAGAACTTTACTCCGCCTTAAAGCATTACTAAATAACTAACTAACTAGGGCTAATATAAGAAAATTTTGCAGAAATCTTTTAGAAACTTGAAAATAATTTTCAATAATTTCTCTTGGCTGATTTACCTTTTTTATTCAAATTTCTGGCACCGTCCGTTTCTCTAATATCATATCCAGTTGCTCTCATGGAGACACCAAGTACATGAAATGTAAAATGTAGTTATTGTTATGACGATTATGCAAATGATGGACGGTAGGCGTTTTAAAATTAGGAAAATAAAAAATGTTACTACTAGCTACCCAGAATTCAATTCCTGTGATATTGAAGAACTTTCTTTCATGCTAAAAAAAAAAAGTTTGTTCGTATTGTATTGTATTGCATTGTTATAATGAATTTTTTCTATCCCTGGGTGATACTGTTTTTTTTTATGTAATGAAATCCCTCTAAATCTTAATATTGAAAAGCAGTGAAGTACATTTTCTTTTAATTTGAAAATCTCTTTAATTAAACCCTCGAATTTGTGTTAATATGTTATAAATTTAGGCAGAATGCAGATTCGACAGTTTTCTATTAGCAGGTTATCAGCGGTTACTACGTTTATAGTGGTTCAAGTTTTGGGTAGTTGAAATGAACCTTGCGATGAGTATAAATTTCAATTGATCTAATAGTCTCCTGGATTTTGTACTATAGTTAAGGAAATTGTTTATTAATTAAATTATTATATTTTCCAAGGCATTCATAAACTTTGGGCACCCGATTGTAACATGCCAAATGTAAATGTATCTTAAAACCATTGAAGCTTACATTTTAAGAAGCGCTTTCTATTTTTGGTGTTAAGGAATAACGAATTGTGAAGCAATTGTGAAGAGTTCTTATGTTTGATTATGTGACTTCCTTGCAATTTTCTTTTTGGTTTTCAAGTGTTTTAGTATCCTTCAAGATAAATGGTCCACAAGTGTCAGTTCCCAACACTCCAAGGTCCTCGTTTCTAATTAATTGTGAATGATTGGAGATTATAGTGCATCAATAGTTATATTTTCTTTAAAGAGTGATAGTAATAATAAGTTTATCAGCAGAGAATCTTTACCAAAGTTCCACCACCTTTTAGTTTTGCCTTTTATAATATTCCCTTTGAAGATAAATATTAGAGTAACATTCAAAACAGGGAAACTGCAATATGCAGTCAGCTTCAAATAATGCATTAGTCTAAATATGTTTTAATATCTTTTTTGCTTATGTTACGACATTTTGTAATTTAGTTATGCTTGCCAAAGGAATTTCAGTTAGGGGTACAATATAATATTTTTCATTTCAAAAATTGAAATGTAAAACAATAAAACGGAAACTGACTGACTTCAAATGGTCTTTTAATGTATATTTTTTGTTTGGGCTAGTTTCAACGTAAAACATGTTTTTTGTTAGACATTTAAATATTTGCAGCATTTTGTACAACATGCATTAATATGAGTGATACTATATCCTTAGCTTTATGCGTCTTTGCTCAACTCTTATGTTAAGTATCTATTCTAGTCCTAAGATTGAAAATATCCTGTCAGAGTGTTGTTATGCAATTGAAGAATTATTTAAGAATAAAAGTGTTTTTAAAATTTGCCCATATCGTTTGAAATAATCCAAAATTGTTTTAACCAGCTGTGTCATTTATATAATGGATATGTGTTTTATATATTTTTTCATTGTTTTTATTATTAATCACAAAATGAAATAGTCAATTGAATGAAAGTGTATTTAATCAGTTTTCGCTAAAAAAAATTCAAATTACGAGAATTTCCATTTTTTTTGTTAAATCAAATCATTTATAGGGTAAAGAAAAAGATAACTTTATTTCCATAAGACTTAATTTACTAGTGTTGGATATTGTCAGTATAATACGAATGTGAAAGTATAAAATTATTTTAGTATAATGAATTAATTAATTAATAATAATAATAAAAAGTAATATTGTTACATAAATAACAAATATATAAACAATAACAAACAATGAATATGTATTAAAAGGTATCACAAGAAAGAAAATCCTTAATATTGTAATAGGCGAGGCGTAGCAATTTGTCTTTAAGAGTGCATTTGAATTTTGTTTGACTAGTTATCTCCTCCAGTTCGATTTATTATACATTTTTACAATCAAAACAAATGGACTATTTGCTTTAAGAGACGGTCGATGTATAAGTATTTTTATGTTAAGATTCGGTCTTAAACTCTACTGAATATCTAAGTTTCTTGACAGCATATAAAGATTAGAGTTACTTTTTACATTCGTGGCACAATTTAGTATGTACATACTAGCAAGTGTCAATAAAGAGTGTTGTGGAAATAGGTCTCGACATGAAAAATTGGAGGGCTTAAGTAATTTTTATATTATAGAATCAATAATAATGGCGACGCCCTCTAAGTTAGGTTGGCTCAAAATTGAAACTCATACCAAACTCCTGTTTCTAACCTTACTGTACCAAGTCTATTTTTCTAATCGTGTACGTTTTAAGTTTCGTTAACCACAGTTGCCAGCTACTTTGAACGTTTTCGGTATTTTGGTCACGACTTTAGGAGCGATCGGATGTGAAGATAGTCGTGCTGTTTGCATAAAGGGGTCAAAAATTTATAGTTGTGGAAAAATATATTCAACACGTATCGTATACTGTTATTGCGCTCAGCGCAACAAGAATACAGTTTTTGCACTAATCACACAAATAGCTAGTTGCAGTAGAATGCCTGGTTCGCGAGCTAATAACGTATTTAAGTAGGTGCTATATATTAAAGTCGTATTTACAAAAAACAGAAATTAGTTTGAGGTGGAACAACTTTGATAAAAGACACGTTAGTCACGAGTTTGTTTTGACTTAAGTGGAGTGCAGCGAAACAGTTACTCAACAAGTTTATCATCTTGTTGCATACTATTGTTTTTCGAAGGTGTGACGTGACTATGACAACTAACAACGTCGAGATATCATTAGTGGCTGGGATCTACCGAAAACATACGATCAATTCCAAATCCGAGACAAATAAAGCACTGGAAACTGCCAAAGTGGCTTGCGACAGGGTTTAGTGTATAATTGGATATGTTATGCTCTGTTTCTTAATGCTCTACCGATTATGATTGTCAAGGGTCGCGAGAGTGGCAGGTAGTTGATCTTCCAATGGATTTGTCGGCGGTTGCTTATTAGCACTTCAATCAAAACGGAATGGAGAATATTATAAAAACATGACTATTTTTGAAAGCTTCGTCCAGCAAGTGGTAGATCTTATTCTTCCTGGGTCTGTTAAAGTCTACCACTCAAGAAAATATCTATGCGAAAAATAAACAGTAATAATTGCTTTACTTTAAATAAGCAGCAATTTAATAAAGATGTGCTGAAAAAGAACTTACTGCAAATTGTAAATTTTTATAAACCTTTTCGTACGAAATTTATTGTCGAGGAAGTCGCATCGAAAGAAGGTATAACAGTGCTTTGCCTTCCGCCATATCATTGTAAGTTAATAGAGTCGTACCTATATATTCCAAAGCTATAATTTTCTTATAGAATTGCTTTTAAACAGTTAATATACAAGAAATGAACAAATACTGTCAATCCTGTTTAAAAGAATTTTCAGTCATGCGCCAACGCCAGAATCGACCGAGTCTCGGATGTCTTAGGCTAATGTTAAGCCAATAATGCCAATGCCGTGTAGGGAATGCATTGACCCGATGCGCTGCAAACTTAGTTGTTTATTTTCCGTGCAAATGATAGTTGTGTTTTCTGATTATAAACATCATCAACAACACGCACTTATATGATAATGTATAATAAGATTTTTTGTTTTCCTTTTAAATTCTTCTATTACCAAATTTTCCAATTTTAGACCTCGTTTCATTTCCATCCAAAGATTTGATTCTTTTTTGCTTCGCGATTCGTTTTCTATAGCGTTGAGAAGTTCTGGATTCATATTTGCTTCACGAAATAGTGTATTATGTAACAAGTGTGGTAAACGGCATTTGAGTCACGAGTTTATTTGGCACGGGTGGAGTGAGTGATTAATAAACGAGTTTTGTTTTAGCTTATTATTATTATAATGATTGCAATTACTAGAAAATTCCATTCTTAAATAGTATACAACAGTGTGTTAAACGACAACGCCTCCAAATCAATAACCTGCGATTCCTCCAATATGTTAACTTGAATTGATAATTTTTCGTTGGATCTGAAAATAATTTTGAATAATGCATATATTCGCCCACGCGAGCATTAGAAAAAAGTTATACGCACTCGTTGTGTATAATCATTGCTATCCTGTTATCTGGCCTCAAGAAAGCGATCGCACTGAGTCCTTTGTCGGCAAATTCCTGAGTCGTGTTGATATCTAATCGCGAAGAACCCGGGATAACGAACTTAGAAAAATGTCCTAGCGCGTAAAACATTGGCTGTTTGTAGAATTCTCCGGCAGAAACGTCCACTATTATCGGCGCTGCCAGACTACCGCCCGGCCCACCATTGGTGTCTACTGCGCAGTTCCAATCCACCCATGCAATAAGATCGTGGCTAAGGTCCTAAAATTCTAACTGCTTTAGCTGGTGAAATCACGGGTCACGGAAAATTCACCTCGATTATGTCGTTTATGTACGAAACGCCATTTTCCCAGCTTCCTATTGGATCCAGCGCTGAAAATATAAGTGGTTGTATGTGTTGTATGTATTGATACTTGCCCGCTTACAGATACTAGCCTCCGATCCAAATACAAACAAATCTTTAAGATCGCTATTAAATGTGTCTAAAAGGTAAGCGGTACTGGGGTTGTCCGAGTACCAGTGAATACCTATCGCATCTGCATATTTCATCACTTCGGGATTTGAAAGTGTCGCCTACAATTATAGACGGTATGTAATTACAAAAAATTAAAAAAAATCGTAATTTACCGGCACAAACTCCCATCCCCACGATCTGTTATCTTCCAAGAGGATTATCTTCAAATCTTTAAAATCGGAATTTCTAATCGCAGGACCAAGATTTTCGGATACAAATTTATTCTGAAAATGTCAGATTATAATTATTTCGCTCTAGCGCCCACCCGCCCAAATGTAGCACTAGAAAAACCTTTTGTGTATATACTTTTGCCTATGAAACACCCAAAATCGCTTATTTCAACTGAGTATCTAATTTATTCAAAACCTTTAACCCTTTTAGAATCCTTACTAATTGCAATCTGCAATATGAAAGAAACAAAATGATTGTCTTAAATCACTTTTAACCTCCCATATTGCAAATAGTATTCGATCACTAAAATGTGAGAAGACGTGTTCATTTTAGGTATTTTATGAATTATTTGTTTAGTATCCTGCTGGATGCGCCATAGGTTCCAACAATCGTTACCATGGAATCGAAATCCCAGGCGCAGTTTGGAATGTACGGAACTCTGGTGAAAGGTTCGTTTTGAGTAGATACACCCCAAAATTCAACCCCTTGTTCTCTGTAGGCTTGGAAGAATTTCACAAACATTTGAGACCATAAATCGTAGTACTCCTCTTTGAGACTCCCGTTCCCGAGCACTCTAGAATCAAAATCATTTCCAGAAACATTCTCAAATTATTATTTACTATATTACTCGTTGCTCGTCTTCATCCATGTTGGCGGAGACCAGGGAGAAGCGTAGAGTTTAAGAGAAGATCCTTTAGCCTGTTCAGCTAGCTTCACAGCGGCTATCTACAAATAGTACACACACCTAAATATGTATTTTATAAGCAATTTATAAAAAATTGTAGGCACCTACGTATTTAATGTTTTTTCTGTAATAGTGCATGCACTTCACCCACTAATCTGCACTTAGTTCCATTTTCTTTCTATTAATGCAATTAAGATTTTTGCTAAAGTAAAATCTAAATTGCTTGAACGGTTATTAAAGTATGAATGAAAATCTCCTGCAGTATCTAAAAAACCGAGAAGAGTGTAGAACAAGTGATGTGTTTCAAGCTTGTAGGAATAAGAAAAGGACCAAGTAAAAGTACAAACCATAAAGGCATCACGAAATATCAGGGTACCTAAGAGATATCATTGGGGAGAATAAACAGACGAGTACTTAAAGTAACGTCAGAATATACCGGAACAAGATCGGTCACGACATACCAGAAATCTTCCCGGAGACCATAACAATTAAACTACTTTTAAGTACAAATGGAATGCGAACGCTACGATCGTTAACAGAATATACGTTATTTCACTGGAAGAGAAGTGAAGAAATAATTAAAGCCTATGAGAGTCAACATGTAGTAATGTGGACAAGAAACTAGAGAAGGGAACGGAGAAACCACATAGGCAGAATGCAGTTGGTTAAGAATACAAAAGAGGAAAAACCAAATACACCTAGACGAGGTGTCCACGAACACCTATAAGATGGTATGAAAACTGGTATTCAGGATCTCAACTCATTCTGGGAAATCACTGACGGAAACACAGGACTTAGTTCTCACTTATGAAAAAGTTTTGCATACTATACTATTTCTACGAACGTCACATTTTTGCAAAAGAGTGACATTGATATAACATGATATAAAATCAACTACGAACATATAATCGCCCCCAATCTGTAATTAAAGTAAGTAATAAAGTAACTTTGACTGATCGATATTTTGCTAATTTGATTATAATCAAAGGTAATGCTATCGTCTGGGTCTACAATATACTATTTCTGTGTAATTAATAGTAACAGTAGAGGCGACCAAACCTATCCTAATTCCTCAAACGCAAAAAAAATAATAAAAAAAATCTATTAAATTCGCTCTATTATATTTGCGACCCTAACTTATTTCAATTTTTAAACTTAAAACCTGTTTCGGAGTATACTTCGGAAATGCTTCAATTAAGCTGATTTAAAAAAATATTTTTCCAAACCAAAAGGGTTTGCGCAAACTTTTTCTCTGTTCCGGGGTCGTGGCCATGTATCTAGTCACTAGTCACAATCTCCGCTCCTATTATACCTAGAGCAAAGGTTAAATGAGGAATGTTTTAGAGCAAACATAGTGCATTTGATAACCGGCTCCAGATTTACTATCGGTCAATTCTTTTGGTAAATATCGGCGAAAAACCGAGAATGGCGGATTTCGTTTTTTGTTATCTTGCAACCCGCCTTAACTTTTATTTTTCTTATGACCGCCATACTTTTTTTATTTTTGGAAAGAGCTTAAAGTTTACAATTCAGTGATGTATCAAAAGTGCCCAATAATATATTATGCAACAAGTGCGGCATTTGAGTCACGAGTTTATTTGACACGAGCGGAGGGAGTGTTTAATAAACGAGTGAGCTAAAAAGTTTACCGAACGTGTTGCATCCTATACTTTTTCTACGACCGTTAGTTTTTGGGGTACATTTTCGCAAAACAATACGAATGCATTCACTGACATGACCATCAGAATTGACAGACATCAAAATTCAAAGCGTGGGAAATATCTCCGAAAATATCCGATTGCTCCCAAATTCGTGTGGTAAAATCCCGGAAATGTCCGAAGTGGCTCGGATTCATGGGCAACGAAACTGACGTGGTAAAGTGACGCTTCCCACACGCTAGATCGGTGGGTAATTAGGTATTTTACAGATATAGTACGTTTTATCTCAATAAAATCACGAATGTGACAAAAAATTGTTGAAACCTCTTAAAAATTTGACATCTTAGCGTTGTATATACAGAAACGTCGGCATTACTTCAGCTTGGTATTTGGTGATATATCCTGAATGACTGCGGCGTCATAAAACAGAATTTAGAAAAATTGTGATTAATTTAAGCCTTCGAACAACCTGAAAATGAAAATGCGCTTAGAAATATTAAAGGATATACACTCGCTAGGGTTGTACGAAAAACAGTTACTAATTGCCTAAAATGTCCCGACTTCAATTAAAAAATCTGTAAATTAATTACCACTTACTAACATAATTTTATTTTACATTAGATTATTTGTAAATTGTTTCTTTCGTGATTTTCTTTCTTGCGTTGTCAAATGTCAATTAAATTAACGACAGCTTTCCTGACTTTTTCTTTTCAAAAAGCACACAATTGGTAAATTGTCCAAACCATCTAACTTGTTGAGAAGTCCTTCTTTATTTAGTGTATTAAAAATTTAATGCGTTTATACGTTTTCTTATTTCGTACTTATTAATGCTAATGTTAATGTTAATGGCATACTTAAATATACACAATACTTTAATCCTAACTTTACGACGGGTGATAAAATCTTTTGTGTACTTATGGGACTTCACTGAACTTGTAAATTTTACCTTCTTTCCAAAAATCGAAACATCCAATATGGCGGTCATAAAAATAATGAAATTTAAGGCGGGTTGCGAGATAACACAAAACGATTGAGGCATGTCATACACGCTATCTTACTCGTCTTAAAAAAAGTGTCTGAACAATGGCACATTTTGACAGCTGTCAATTCAACTGTTTTACATTTACTATTGAAAAACGAAATCTGCCATTTTTGGTTTATCGCCGATATTTCCGAAACCATTCAACCTTTGCTGGAGCTCTAATAGGAGCGGAGACCAGCGAATCTGGGACGTTTTACAAAGATAAATAGCTTCCGCTGCTGCTTTATCGAGTATTTTTGATGTGGTAAGTGTAAAAAGTGTAGTGTGCTCCACATTTATAAACTTCCTCTGGTATGTATGTTGATAATTTGATTGCCGTCAATAAGCAAACTACAAAGTGAATTTAGAATATACATTGTTTTGTATAATTGATAGTAACAGTAAAATCGAAGCGACCTTTTGTAACGGGCTAATTATTAATTATTTGACAATTCTATCAAAGGTTTTTGGTAGATGCATATACTATAATATAGTTTTTACTAAACTTTAGTAGGGTAATGTCGAAAGTATTATCAAAAAGCAATGATCGATAATGTAGGTTACACAATAACAATCTCTCCAGTGGGCAACTGCTATCTTGTTGAAAACCAATTGATATACATTTACGAAAACAACTTAATAAAATGCGTCCTCACTTTTACCTTATAATTCAAATCTTCGGGTTGCAAAGCAAAACTGTCTAAAGTTTCGTCAGGCGTATCGCAGTTTGAATATCTACGTGTGGAAAAATCTGTTCCACCTATCGGTACCCTTCCAAAGGAGTAATTAATCCCATCGGCGCTAAAATAGCTGTTGAGCAAATTATCTTGAATGGCTTTCGGTAGTGAAACTATATTTTCTCCCACGGCATCGGTAAATGAACAACCGAAGCCTTCGATTTTTCTACCGACGGCGGTAACACTGGGAATTGTTATTGCATAAGAGCTAGTAAACCCCGATTTTGAAAAACTTTCGTTATTCGACTGAAAGCCAAGATGTTCCTTACTGGTAAAGTACAGCTGGTACTGACCAGATTGTTGATCTAGCAGTTCCGGTATCGAATCACAGTACGTCGAATTACATACGCACACCGTACCGTCTGTGAGTTCGCGTTGAATGCATGGTTTTTGAGCGACGATTGGATACAGTAGGAAAAGCACATACGATAGAACACCGAAGGCGATCATTTTGAAGACGTGTTGTTAGATAAGTGTGCGTTTATATACTCGAAAATCGAGGACTTGTTTTTCTAAAATTCGAGGGCTTTTATCGCGAAAGAGTTATTTATATTTTCTAATATAATATTCGTTATTTTAGTGCATATTAGATAAGCATGGTTGCGAAACTGAGTAAAAAGACTAGATTACTGACTTAAAACGACATATAAAATAGTGCTGGCATTCTACTGCTGGTTTAACTACTCTTAAGGCTCATTCCCTTTCTTACAATACTATATAGATATTTTTTTTGTAGAAAGATTTCCTTCCGACGACGAAATTTCATAAATTAACGTTTGAATTAATTCACATTTGCCATGTGCACAAAAAAACTTTATGTTAATAAGGTGCAGATATTAATAAATGAAGATTTAGAAAGATTAATCTTCTTCTGTTGTTGGCCATCATCGTGGCAATCGTACTTTGTCAACTGCTGCACAAAAAACGCCTACTGTTGTATTGAACCATGTACGCAAGTTCTTCAACCACGATATCCTTCGTCTACCAGGCCTCCTCCTGCCTTCCACCTTGCCCTGCAAAATCAGCTGCAACAAGTCATACCGCTCGCTGTTCCTCATTATGTGTCCCAGATACTCAAACTTGCGTGTTTTTATTAAGAGAAGCAGCTCCTTGTCTTTACCCATTCTTTCTAGGACCGTAAGATTGGTTATATGATCGATCCATGGGATTGTTAAAATGCGTCGATATAACCACATCTCAAATGAATCGATTCTTGTACAGGCAGCCTCAGTTAAAGTCCAGGATTCCACCCCGTAGAGTAGCACTGGAAAGACATAGCACCTCAATAGTCTGATCTTAGTTGGCAGAGATAGATCATGTCATTTAAATAGTTTTGCCATTTTCAGAAATGCGGCTCTGGCCTTCTCTATTCTACATTTGATCTCCAGAGAGTGATCCCACGTTTCTCGTTCTATATACTGGTTATTTATAGAGAGTTGGCCAACATGGCAACATGGTTGTTGGTTTTTGACACAACCATATATTTTGTTTTCTTAAAGTTCAGAGAAAGCCCGTATCCTTCACTGACCTCGACCACCCGAATCATTATCTCTTGGAGACTCTCTAGGTTATTAGCAAACACTACCCTGTCATCTGCGTATCGTATGTTGTTTATATACTCGCCGTTGATCTTAATCCCACTGTTCGTGTCTTCCAGAGCCTCCTGAAAAATTCGTTCCGAGTATACGTTAAAAAATAGAGGCGACAACCCTGACGGAACTCTCTTTCTATCAAAGTATCCTCCGACTCCTCTCCTTCGATGCGCACAGATGCGATTTGTTGCCAGTACAAGTTGGCAATTATTCGTAAATCTTATTCGCCCAATCCGATCTCCTTTAGAATTTCAATAAGTTTGTTGTGTTGCACGTTATCAAAGACTTTCTGGTAGTCGATGAAGCAGGCAAACACATCGCAACTGACGTCCCTGCACCGTTGGAAAAGGACCTGAACACTAACTAGAGCCTCGCTAGTACCTAGCGCGTTTCGAAATCCGAACTGTGTGCGGCTTACTTGATCTTCTTTTTTGGCAAAAGTATAAAAGTCGATTTTAACCACATCTTCGGTATTACCCCGGCAGAATATATGTTATTGAATACTCTTGTTATTTGTCTAATGCCGTCCGCATCAAGCGTTTTTACAAATTCAGAGTGTGTTGTCTACTGTTATTGGTAGCCTGTCTACATTGTTAAATCTTTCTGGCCTGGTGTCCGTAAAAAGGTTTTCTATGTAATTTTTCCAAGTGTTCACTTTCTCTTTGATGTCGGTGATCAGTTTGCCGTTTTCATCATGTAGTGTCCCAGATGTATTAGTTTTGTATATTCCGACTGCTTCTCTGACTTTCTTGTGCATATTAAACGTGTCGTATTTTTGTTCTAACGACTCTATTTCTCTGCATTTTGCGTCAAGCCAATTTTCTTTTGCACTTCTTATTTCTCGTCTTATTTCTCTTTGAATATTTTTATACCTTGCGTCGTTGTTTTTCGCTTTCCACCTGTCTTCCATAAGTTATAGAATATTATCGGTCATCCAGCTTTTCTTTTTCTCCCTGTTTGCGACCAAATGCTCGTTTCCGATGTCCCCGAACGAATCAGACATTTTTTGCAGCCATTCCTCTGTGTTATCTACTTCCTCTAGTTGTTTAAATTTCTCTGTCAGTACGTTTGTCACTCTCTTCCGTGTTTCCTCCTCTTTCAGCCTTCTCATATCCCATTTCTTGCGAACTGTTTTCTTTTTGACAGTCTTCAGTTTTATTCTAAATCTTCCTGCCAAAAGGCAATGATCCGTTTCGATGCCAGCGGCAGGGAAAGTTTGCATGGATAGACAACTATTCTCAAATCTTTTATTCACAAGGATGTAGTCGATTTGCTTTCTCACTGTTTTATTTGGCGATATCCAGGTATATATTCGACGCGGTGGTAGGGTAAAAAAGGTATTAAGTATTATATATTCTTCTTGTTCGACGAAGAGCTTTAATCTGTCACCGCGTTCATTCCTTGATCCCAAACCGAATCCACCTATGAGTTCGCCGCATTTTCCTCTTCCAATCTTCGCGTTTAGATCAACCATGATTATTGTCATATCGTGTTTATCAAACTGCTTTAGGACATCTGTTAATGATTTATAAAACTGTTCGATTTCTTCATCCATTTTATCGGCAGTTGGGGCATATATATGGATAATATTCAACTTGACAGGAGTGCTTTCTAATTGGATGGCCATTATTCTTTCTGAGACAGGAATAAAGATTGTGATGTGTTTTTGTATCTCTTGGGACAGAATTATGCCTACCCCATTTATATGTTGGTTGTTTTCGTTCTCAGAGTAAAAGATCTTATGTTCTCCAATTGTGGAATTTCCTGAGTCAGGCCAACGCATTTCACTAATCCCCATTATGTCAATTCCCATTCTAATCATTTCTTGGAAAGCATTATGCACCTTTCCCCCTTGGTACATTGTTCTTACATTCCACGTACCTATCTTCAAGACTCTCCTGCATATTTTCAGTGGCCTTCTAGCCCCCGTCGTGCAGGGATTTCACTGGCTGACGACCTGGGAAGCTCTGCCATTACCTCCCCTGCCGGATCTTGGGTTCCGAAGCCCATGATCAGTATTTATATGAAATATAGTACTCTCCGCCATTTATGACTGTTCTTGGGAGTGTTATGAGGTGGTTTCCCCTTGCCTTCCTCATCGCTGTACCACAACCGTATGAATCATTACCTGATTCTCGCCTGCGGGTGTCTGATTCACAGCCAGAGTCTCTTGACGTATGCCTGTGGTCAGTTATGAAGTAACCAGCTGCCGTTCTCCATTGCTAGTTTTGGTCTGCCCCGAGTATTTAATTTTCTCGGTACCACCCATATCTGGGAGGCGTTCCCCTATCCGCCACCTGGGGAGGCGCCAATGGACTAGCCGGATGGACTAGCAACCCCACACTGGAGAAATATTAATACTGGTAGAATATTGACACTAAATTTTAATACTAATCTTCGTTTTAAACGTCATGTTAATCAAATAACATGCGTAGCGCACTCTAAAAATGTTATATCAAAGTCTTTATAAACAAGATTGACTAGTTCGTTGGTTTTAAGTCACTTTAATTTTTGTGATAGTGTTTTTCGCCCGTGTTTGAATTTGTGTGAGATTAGCAGAATACAGAGGGTCCAAAAATCGTATTTGCGTTTCATTTATGGTATATGTGTTATATAAACTTAAAGAAACAAAGTGGTTAATAATGGAAAGCAGGCGTGAATTAAATTCAGTTATTCTATTGCATAATATAATAGTAAATAAGTGTCCTCAGTACTTTTATAATAAAATTAGCTCTCGTAATAACGTGCATACGCTCAATTTGAGATTTTGTGGCTATATTGCCTCCACCGCATCAACTAACCCTCCTTCAAAGATCTCTTCCCTTATAAGATATATCACGGAGTCCGGGAAGAATTAAAATACTTAAGCTTAAAATTATTTAAACCACCGTATAGAAAGTACCTGTTCCAAAACGATAGCGTGTAGAAGACGTTTGTTTGTTTGTTTTCTTTTTTTTTGTTATATGAGTTGCCGATGTTTGTTGCAGTTCAAGGGCTTTTTGTTTATTTACCGAAGGAAATGGGTTTCATCAATTTAAGTGGTAGAATTAATTAATTCATTTTATGCCTATACTTCACTGCTTTATTACATTTCATCTTAAATTCGATAATTGATTTCATAGAAAATTTGGAAATTTTACACTTTTTCCTGTTCTCGTTGCACTTAACTAAATCTCGATTTACTTAAAAACTATCAATATTGCCAGAGATAAGTTTCAAACAAACTTTAAATATTGCAAAAATGAGTCCGAAAGTCTAAATATGTATCGAGAAAACCGAGAAGTGTAAATCAGCAATTCAGCGGTGTTGCCGCGGATAAAATAAGATAAATAATACTAGTGACGAGTTTGCGACGTTTTGAGTGCAGAACCGGCAAACATTAAAATACCGTCATATCGCTACGAAACTGAAGTTCCCGAAACGTCCGGAGTGACACTTTGGGCACCACTGATCAGTGTGTGATTGGAGTTTGATCTAATCTGATCTGATCTTTTTTTAGTATCGTAAATACATGGGATGGATTAGTACATTTCGGCTATTGAAAAAAAAATACGTGTAACCAAATAAAAATAGGACATAGAAAATGTTTGAATTATTGAAAAAAATAAAAATAATTATTACAAATGATAAAAGTAGCCACCAAAAGTAGGTCTGGCCATCCCAGTTGGTGCAAGATTATCCAGCCGACAAATTAATAGACGGAATAACTCATAAGAGTCACGGAACTTCATTTCACTACAGTAAAGAACAGCCAACTGAAATGGATTCAGTAGCTGTATCATAATTCTTTCTTTTAGAAAATTCTGAGAAGTCAATGCACAATTCTGAAATGAGATCTTGCAACGTGGATAATTTTTGACAACCGTCACAGTGTCTAAGTGATAGATTGCCCAAACAAATATATGAAATATCATGCCTTTTTATGTTATATGCGGGAAACCAAACTGTATAAACTTCGTACATGCCGCTTATGTGGCGCAATATTTGAATCAAAGGTTGCCCAATTTTAAATACAAAAAAATCGAAAAAACTGGAAATGAATGGCGCGTGAGTTGAAATATCGATTATTTTTATTTGTAAGGACAAGCATTTTCAGGGTTTTTTGATAGAGACGAATAAGAGAAACAAATGGTATCACGTCGACAGTCCGCTGATATGGAAGGAAATTAGTGCGACAGGTGGAAAACCATATTTCATTGGTGGTTTGGACAAATTCTGGGAACATTGTTATATATATTATGGTTTGGAATCGATTATACCCAGAGATGAGTTAAAAGCTCTCGCTGCTGATAATGCGAAAGTAAAATTGAAATTGATTAAATGATTATGTATTAAAGGAAATGTTAAAAAATAGTTTCTTGGGATAATAATATTCCTCTGCTTATAGAGCTGTCTTTGTTGTTCCTTAAAAATTGGCCATATCTGTCCAGTCTTTGAAGATTTTTTTCCAACCAGAAAGGTTTTTCCACCTATGCCTCGCTAGTCCTTGATTTTTCTTAATTTAAACATGCTGTCTTTCGCTCGAGCTTGCCTCAATAAGGTATTTTAACAAGTCTACGAAGTATTTACATCTCAAGACTTTCTGTTCTATTAATGGTGTTAAATTTTACAGTCCAAGCTTTGCAGTCATGCAATAGTGTAAATAACACTTCCCAAATCGTTATATAGGACTTAGATTTAGAGTATAACTATACTTGGTTTTGGTTACTGCCAATGCAAATCCTCAAATATTTGAATTTTTCTACTGTTCGTTTACCATATACACTAATATCTAGTTTTTTTATATTATTGATATTAACGTAATTAGATGAAATCTAGCAATAATTCATTAAATGGTTCGTTTTCAGTCAATCATTTTCCAACTGCATAAAATAAATGGGCGAATAGAGGGTAAATGTACATAGCATGAGTTCGTGAAAATTCTAATATACTTTTTGCATTGCTTACTTCATCTGTTCTGCATAAAATTATTAACTAAAATTGATCAATATTAAAGCGGTCACTTATTACCAAATAAAAGTAAAATTTCAATTGTAAAATGTCACGAAGAGAGAAAAAAATCATTTAAGATAAATTTGCTTCTCATGAACAACGTTGGCAAATTTTTTCTTTTCTAATTCTTTTTTTAAAATGTTTTATGTATCGGAACATTTTTTGCTTACATATTTTTGTTGTATTATACCTGTATTACTTTGTTCCAATGTGTGAAAAATACGCTGTATCTAAATAACCAAACAACTACCTTGCCTATTCGCTCCCGAGCCCCACAATTATAGCAACAAAGTTTTAGTCCGGCGTTCATGGATTATTATAACAATATTAGTAACATTATTAACAAATATCAAATCGGAAAGAACGAATTTATACCTAGAACAATTTTCGAGATACAGATAGTAATTCATTTTAATTAACTTAACTGAGATGAAATTTATATGATATAACTTCAAGTAATATTTCAAAAAATTACTCAAAAAAATAAATAAAAATTCATTCTTAATATATGCAACCCAAAAAGAAAGACCCTGTAAGAACTGATATTTATACAATTTTTTTTATAAAAATACTTGAAAATTCTGTTCCTGTCAAATATCGAACATTTATTAAAAATCCTCTTATTAATCTCTTATCTTTAATACGTGGACCAGTTAAAACAAATGGTTTTTGAAATTAATAAAACAAGCAAATTTCTTTGTCACAAAATTTCAGGTTCTGGTATTCTTTTCTTTCTTTAGCACCAAATACCGTTTATAAAATTACTCGATCATTAAAACCAATGTTTTTTTTACATATTGGATGTGGTTTTCGATTTGGCAGTTCTTCTACGAAGACGCAGAAAACTCTAGCCAAGAAAAATCAACATTTGACGTCGTCATCAGCATTATTGGCGCTGCGAGTCCTCTTACAATATTTCTAATTAATGAGATTTTGGAAATGCCTGAATTTTTGGAAGGTCGCGGAATTTTTGTGAAACTACACGATGAAAATCAGGACGACAGTAAAAAAATGGCAGCACTAGAATCTATCGTTGAACATTTCAATGAGTTTTACGTTTATGGAAACAGAAACATTGTAAAGGTTGCCGAAGATCTAGGCGATATTATTGCGGAATGCGATCTGCTTCTGCATATTCGAGACTATTCTATGTAAATTCGTTACCAAATCAGAAATATAAAGTTTAAGTCGTTATTTCAGGTTGCCCAATCAAACACAGTTGGAATGGTTGTCGATGTGCTACAACGAAATGTCCAATCTAGCAGACGTGATTAATACCAGAGCTAAGCGTAGTTTACGAGTGCTATTTAGCAACGACGGACCAGTCTGTTTCTTAGCGACTTGTCTGCTAGAGTTCAGTCCAATATTACATCCAACGAATATCGTAGCTGTGACTTCCGATCAAGCGCTGCCTTTTGTAAAAACCCTTTCAGATGTAACTGGAGTGGCTATATCGAGAATTGCTGCTCCGCCGGTGTGGGGGTTCGTTGGGATTAATCAATTTGTAGATATAGAGAACACCGTTTTCAAAGCGGACATTTTGAGGCCATATAGAAGGTATAATCATGTTAGTAGACGCTGTTAATCTTTCATTTAATATTTTTTGATACTGTGAAACAACTAAAATTACAAAACGTCAATTTTATTGCTTTTAATTTTAATATTCTAGGACTAATCCATAAAATACTTAAACCCGAAAAAAGTTTGAGACTTCAACTCCCTGTTTTGTGGCATAATATCCCAATCTCACTAAAAATAATGGTTTATTATTGTGATTTCTTCCGTCACAACTTTAAAATAGGTTGCGACGGTTAATAGAACTGAACTGAATGATGATTTCCACAAAATAATATCGAATTTCTAATTTTAAGTAACATTTGCAAATATGTTCATTCGTTTTGTTTCCACAGACAAATTTGCTAACATAATTTTACTGGTATGCGCTCCCTGATGGATTTGTTTTAACTTCACTTGATGGTGATTTGGCCTTTAGAATGTAAATGACGCACCCTAATATTAGTTCTTAACCTATTTACCAATATCAATTGTTATATGTTATTAACCAAATTGTATATGTTTAAATACATAAGTGAAAATAGTTTAATTTTGTTAGTCCGCCAGATCTAAAATAACTAAAAATAATGTCTACTCTTTACTTTACGCAAAGGTGCGTAATTAAAACAAATTTTATTTGTTTACAAAGTTTTTTGTTATTTTAGTAGTTTTGTGGCTATTGAAATACTGTCATTGTTTATTGGTTAGATTGTTTATGGTGTATGTGTTCTTTTTTATATTATAAATACTTTATAAAATTATATCGGAGGAGTTGTAAACACTAATTTGGAACTGAAATGTATTTTTTATCGTCCAACTTAATCATGCACCTGAGATTTTTTCTTCTTACTACTATTAATTGAGGTCAGTTGCAGTTTGGAAACAAACAAAACATAACATTAGGTAGCAGATTAATAATTCTACTTAATTATTGGCTACAAATTACCTGAAATGCGCAACAGGTTTTATAAACGTCACTCTAGTCACGAGAGGACCACAGCGTGACGCGTGAATGATGAAGTTTGAATAACGCGAGTTTTCGGTAGATTTTTGCAAAATTGCACGAATACATTCAATAACTGACTTGTGAGGTAACCGTCAGAATTGACAAATGTTCTTAAATCATTAGTCACGCCTGGTTAGTGAATAACTTAGTATTTTAGAATAGTAGAGGTTAAAACTAGTTGGGAAACGACAACAATAAAATTTCTAGCGCAATATTTTTTTAAATGACAGTACGTTCAATTTTCATATTTATGCAAAGCCGTTGCTGCGTTTTTTGTATATTTATGTCTATTTATACGATTTTCTAAAAGTAGGCTCGTCATTCTATAAATTCTTAGCAACTAATAACACACATAGACTTGAAAGTCAAAATATTAATTCATTCAAAATATCACTAAGGTTCATACAGGGTTGCCCGTTTAAGAGGGGCATATACCTTATCTCGAAACCTATGGGGGTTACAAAAAAAACTAAATACTTTTTACAAAACTGTTTCAGTCAAGCTCTGAAGAAGCCAACAGAATGATTGGCGAAACGTCAGCAATTTCGACTCAGCAAAAACCAACGCAGGAGGAATCCAGAAGTTTTGTAAAAAATATTAAAGTATCCTGTGGAAGTTGCTTTAAAATTTAAATACAAAAGATGTTTTTTTGAAAAATTAAAATTTAAATACAAAAGATGAAAATGACCTTTATTATTTTTTTATTTTCCTAATAGTTATATTTTTTTAAATAGAACACCCTATGTTTTATTGCATTTTTTGATAGTCCTTTCAAAGACAAATTAAACGATATATATTAGTACGGATCTGTGACGTACCGTTTCGAACTTATTAGCGATCATCTTCAGATTTGGAGTTATGCTTAAACCATCATTGTTGGGTAGCTTAACTTTTTAAACTTTTAAACTTAATAATTTAAATCTTATGCCCAGTTTTTTAATTAAGCCAAAATGGTAAGCCAAAGACCCGTACTATGTTATATAATTGAAATTGCTATTAAAGGGGCTATTCGAAAATCCAATAATATAGAGAGTGTCTCATTAAGGAAAATTAGTATTTTAAGAAAATATTTTAACTTTGATCGTTGCTTAGAGAAAAGCATTATTTTCGTAAAAATAATAGATGGAAAAAAGTTTAAAAAGTTAATAAGCAACCCAACAATGATGGTTTAAACATAACCCGAATTCTGAAGATGATCGCTAATAAGTTCGAAAAGGTGCATCACAGACCCATACTCATATATATCGTTGAATTTGTCTTTGAAAAAACTATTCAAAAATGCAATAAAATGTGGGGTATTCTATTTAAAAAAATCGAACTTTGTTTTACCACCCTGTATATAAAAAAGTAACCATTAGGAAAATAAAAAAAAGGTTATTTAAATAGAAATAACTTTTTTCTACTGTCGTCTATAAAATACCTAATTACACACCGATCTAGAGTGCGGGAAGCGTCACTTTACCACGTCAGTTTCATTTCCCACGATATTTCCCACGCTTTGAATTTTGACGTTTGTCAATTCTGACGGACATGTCAGTGAATGTAATCGTGTTGTTTTGCGAAAATGTACCCAAAAACTAACGTTCGTAGAAAAAGTATAGTATGCATCACTTTCGGTAAACTTTTCAACTTACTCGTTTATTAAAAACTCTCTACGCTGCGCTCCGCTCGTGTCAAATAAACTCTCGAGTTAAATGCCGTTTACCGCACTTGTTGCATAATATACTATTGCATTTAAATTTTTTTGTAATCCCCGTAGGTTTCGAGATTTGTTATAAGCCTCTCTTAAACGGGCCACCCTGTGCATATTCTTATATAAAATATTTAATTTATTTAATATTTGTGTGTAGTTTAGATTATTGATGAAGATCCACATTGTCATCAAAACGTTGAATAAAATTAAAAAAAAAAAGAATTTTACTATTACTGAATAACGTCCACCTAAGAACACCTTCAGAATTATAAATAATTATATATTGATCTCTCTCTCTATTAAATTTTAGAGCCTTAAAAAATCCAACGAATTCAACTCTATGTCTTGGAACTGTGATGTCAGAATTGAGGACGATGTCTTACTTAGTGTTGAATAATCACGAAAATATTGTTGAGTTCGTTGAAAAGCGCAAACGCCCCATCAGCCGACCGAATAGAAATGTTTTGGCCAAAGTAAGAGCTGTGAGTAGTTTGGTTCGACTATGGTACTCGAGAGAACCCGAAGATGTCATAATATCACTAGGCATTTGTTCAGATGGTAACTACAGAGTTCCTAAACTATTCGTTTGGTAAATTTTGTGTTCTAGGATCTTTTGAAATTCCGCGCGGGATAATTTTCTCGCAGCCAGCAGAGCAGGATGCGACTAGAAAATGGCGACCGTTTCACAATTTCCCTCTAATGAATGACAATACGAAATCCGAAATAAATCAATGTCTTAATGAAAGTAAAGAACTCTTAAGTTGCTTTGAGATGTTCGACAAAAGTGAGGAAAATTGGTCAGTGTATAGCGTAATGGACAACGACAGCAGAGATGTAAATTTAAACAATAGTTTTTCTGAATAGTTTGTATATTTGTCTTATGTAAATACAATATAAAAATAGTATATGTACATTTTCGTGTAAATAACAAGATTCTATTAGTTACCATTTCGACAACAGTTTTCAAAATTCCAATGATATCAACGATATCAACACCGTAAAGATGAGCAGCGTTTTTTAGAAATTCTTGGCACTTATTTTTAACGCAATCGGCATCGCTTGAGATCATAAGTAATTTTTCCTATGAAAAATCGAGTTAAATATTTTACTTTGCCGTGTTTCTCTGTACACACGATTAAACGAAATTTGCATTGTTTACGTCGCATTTCATGCTAAGCACGTATTCTAAAGTTTATTTACAATAATTAAGTATTATTTACTTACAAAAACGTTACCGTAATAATTTAAACCACGCGGGATACAATTTGCGTGGGTACTAAAATTATGGTAAGAAATATATCCGACATCATAACACACTTTTAAACAAGAATCCCCTACCATATCTACTGTTTTAGTTTAGGGTGTTTTTTGAAAAACGTACATTTTTAGAAAATCGCTGTTCTTGTTATGAAAAATTTTGTGTTTCTATGAAGACATTTTTAAAACAAATTTTATAGCAGAAATTAATGTCTTGTACATGTTTTTATTAAAACAAAATATTCTATAACAGAAAAGTTTTCGAACTCTGGAACGGAAACAAATATCCATGTGCAGTTTTTACCATTTTACTTTTTATATATTAGTTTTCTTCTATCTTCTTTAGTAAGGGGAGTTGCACTTTAAAAGTGGCCAAATTCGCCGACTCTGTACAAGTATTAAAAAGTGAAAATTTCACACAAGATTGTATTTTGCAAGAGCGTGAAAAGAGTACGCAATACTTTTCCGGCGACCACAAGAACATTATAAAGTTCTTTTTTATAATATATATAATTTACTTACTTGGCTTAAAGCAAACCTAAAAGTTCTCTTCAAATCTCTATATTATTTTTACTTAGTAATCATCGATTTGTGCTTAAAATAAAAGCACTCGAATTTTTCATTTCGCACCTTCCCTTCGTTTAAATTTTCAATATGAAATGTAGAATTCTTTATAGTGGTCGTCGAAAAAATACAATTTTCTATAAAATTATTTCGAAGTAACCAAACTTAAAAGTTGGAATATCTATGAAACTGAATATTCGTATTTCATATCGGTTTCTGTTTTCGAAATAATTCCGTCGTACTTCACCATAGTTATGCTGCGAGGGTTGATTCTTGCCAACTAAGAACCCAACTTGGAAATTAAGTTCATTTTCATTCATTATAAAAACTTTTCGCTCACTGTTTCGTAAACTTCAACTGAGGAACTTTTTCTAAAGGAAAACCAATCCTTACACTTTACGCTTAAATACTAAGGGATGGTCTTTTCTTACGATCTCCTTTCGAATTTTTTCCGAAAATATTCCCTAACACTTTCGAAACGCTGTTTACGCCCAACTTTCTCCTGATCGGTAGAGCCTTGAGCAGTTGGACCGACCTGGCTTCACGCAGGAGTGATTGAAATGCCAGAGAAACTCCTGCAAAATTCTCAGCCGCGCTTACTTCATAAAATTGACATCCGTATTGCAAGGACAACTCCTGGCCTTCGTCGACGCATATTTGCCTGGAATTGAGATACAAATAAATACATAAATAAATAAATACCGACTTTAATTATAGAGAAAAAAATGCATCGTCGTGTGTTCAAGCTACAATTACTGTTGCTATCCACAAAGATGCTATTCAGACTCAATTTCTACTTTCGGAAATTTCGAGGGAATTAAGGAAGTACTTAAAGTCAGAATTAGAAAATACATGTCTTCTGCCATTTTTAAACAAAAGCAGACGTTGAATTTCTTGGAAATAAGCCTCCCTTATATCAAGATATTTTGCTGATGAATACAACAACACGAATATCACCTCAATTCAAGCATTTGATGTAGCAAAATTATCTCGTTATGATATAGGTTGAAGATAAGATCAAAGAGAATGCAGTTATAAAATTCCTAGTGGTACCGCAGATAACAGGAAAAGATTGAAATTTTAAAATATACTCTTTTTCAGGTATTATTTGAATATAAAATTAACAAACGGTGTGCATATTTTTCTTTCTGAGTGATCACCATTGAATTTAATTTGTTATTTAGTCTTTGAGTGTCACCTATGCAAGTTCTTTTTGCTTATTTATTTTTTCTTTCTTCCTCCTATATGTGGTCTTTCGCTTTCCTTTCTTTCGATGAACCCGGTATTAGTATATTATGCAACAAGTGTGGTAAACGGCATTTGAGTCACGAGTTTATTTGGCACGAGCGGAGCGAGTATATGAGTGACTTAAAAAGTTTACCAAAAGTGCTGCATACTATACTTTTTATACGTCCGTTAGATTTTGCATACATTTTTACAAAATATCACGCATACATTCCGTGACATGACCGCCAGTATTGATAAACGTTAAAATTCGTACAGTGTGGTAAAATTTCCGAAAACATCCGATTGCTCTCAAACCCGTTCGGTAATACCACGGAAATGTCCGAAGTGGCTCAGATCCGTGGGAAACGAAACTGGCGCGGTAGAATGACACTTTCCGCACGCTAGATCGGTGTATAATTAGGTATTTTACAGAAGGTAGTAGAAAAAATAAATTTTAACCGTTTACTTTTTGTTGCAGTCTTGACAAAATTTAGAAATATTGGTTACAAAATATTTTAAAAGAAAAACAAATATTATATAATAATATTGACCGGCGGGGTTTGCTTTTTAAAGAAAGATTTTATAGCCTCAGCGTGCCCGGAAAAATTAACCATGTTGCATGTCCGAAATGTGATACTTTCCGGTATTCTTCCTAAGGGAGCCTGGAAACATCAAAATGATAAGAAATGAGATAGAAAAAACCATAAATTCAAATTTATTAATTTGTATTACAGTTTGGTATGGAACTATAGTATCAATTTGTGAATATTCCTTGTCCAATGGTGAATTCAAGATTTTTTTAAGCATATTTATTATTGCCCTTAGAAACATCAATAACTCCCAAAATTATCCCCTGCTGAGAGTACAAGTACAAATTTCCGAACTACAAGGCGTGAGGAAAAGTGAGGTTTTCAGCGTGCTGGTTGAAAGAGATTTTTATAAAACACTAATTATATTTAGGACCGTTTTTTCCTTTGTTAAAGTTAACATAGTTTTTGAAAATATCTATTTAATAATCATAAAGGCATCATTAAGAAACAAACATAACCTAAAATGAAAACTTAAACAAAAAATTCTTTTATATATTTATTTATGTATAGAAATAACGCTTACCAAATATCAATAAATTCCCCACACCAGGCTATTTCATTTAAAGGACACTAAACCTGTTTGAATAATCGTGACGTCATACCGCTGATTTTCAAACCATACAGCGACATGTTATAGTGTTATTTTCAGGTTATAGGCCGAGAATTATATTATTTACGTTTATTTTTGGCCCGTGTAAAGATGTGTTTGTAATTAATCTACGCCAGTTTGTATTTGTATTTAGTATACTTTACATGATAATACTGGAAGCAACACAAAAACAATATTAAAATCATGCCATTGTGTTTGAGTACAACCCATAAAACACCAGACAGACTTTTTGTTTGTCTACCAGAAAATAAATGTTGTTTTTTGTTAACATTATAATATTTAGTGGTCACTTTAGCCTTAAGCGTGCAAACATTTTTAACTCTTCGAACTTGCACCCATTCAATTGCAGTCTCTATAGGAATGGTTTCCTCATCTATATTAAATAAAGATTAGATTAAAAAAAACCGTTTTGGTTAGTTTTTAGTTTTTTTTGTTGAATTATTTACATTTTATTTGATATATCATTTGAATTTTAAAAACTAGAAAACTTCAAGCTGATTACAATATTAAATATAAAATTATTATTATTATATATATATATATATATATATATATATATATATATATATATATATATATATATATATATATATATATATATATATATATATATATAACTAGCGGCTAAATTTTCCATGAGCATACCTTATAGCTTTAACACCGCGAACCTCAGCAAAAGAAAAACTTTCGGTTTTTCGGTGTATCCAAGATGTCACTATAAAAAATCGGCTTCGGTCATTTTCAAAACTATCTTTTTTATACTAAACACAAAATAACAAAAGCAAGCGATAGGATCAAGACTAAAATTAAAATTAAAACCACCAAAACGAACGCGAGTGGTGCATAATCTTACGAGCGAATTGACGTCACTCACAACCGGTAACAGTTAATGACAGAGTGTCTCAAAGAGTATTTCAATTTTACAATTTTTAATTGCTTATATTTGTTACATAGAACTACGAAATTATTTTTTTATGTGAACTGTGCTTCTTTTAATAGTATAAACTTAATTTTTTAATCAAAAGTAAAATTTTGTTCTAGATGACCTCCCGATATCCTCTGGGACACCCTATAATTATATCGGCACAGAAAATATCAGGGCGTCCCACGTCAACCTTGTAAGAACCCACTTACATACAAAAGATTAAATTAACACGTAGAACGTTTTTGAAAAAGGCATGAGTCTCGAAAAAAAAAGGGAAAATTATGTATATAAGGCACTCGACTGCAGTTTTTCAAATAAATTAATGGGGATTAATAGGTAAAACGGCAACAGATATAATTTACGGGTACCCCATGGGGATTTGCTGTCTTGACAAGATACTAATTCCGAAAGATTAAGGTAACAGGTAGCGCCTTAATGGATCTAATTATGTTATTATAGGTGAGGCAATACCGAGGGGGCCATCTTGGGAAAATATTGTCTTCGAGGTAACTGTAATACAAGGAAATTCTGTCTCGCGTTTTTTACTCACAGCGCAACACGCTAATAAGGATTTACTGCGCTTGTTTATACAGGGCGGGGCAAAAGTTATTTTACCATTTAGAAGAGTTATCGCTAAACCATCACGCTACACGCAATAATAGAAAATGTGAAGAAAATCTAAGTGAGGAAATAAGGAAATCTCCAATTAAATTACAGGAAAGCTGCATGCCCAAGTTTAAATTAACAAAGTGTTACAGATTGTTTTCGGCTATCTCTATAAATTCTGCAATTAAAATAATTATTCTTCAGCCATTGAATCTAAAAAATATAGCTAATGCAAAAATTAACTTCACTTACTAATTAAGGATTTACTCAGTAGCAGTTAACAGTTAACCCTACAATATACAAAATAAAATGCAAAGGAATACGAAGGAAGAGAAAAAATAGAACAAAAATGTAGTGCTTGTACTGTTGTCATTTATTTTTACTGACTGACTGACAATAATTCACCTATTTTGCGAACCAACGTAGGTATAGCTGTCATTTCTATCTATTATTTTGTAGCTATGAATGATAACTACATGTTAATACTGCGTATATCGTACCTACTTCATATTGTATTATAATGACCATGGTTGGAACGCAATCCAAATCTTGTATTAGAAGCAATAACAAACCCAAACAATGTTTTATCACTTTTTTAAAACTCCGAATGAGTTTTTTGTAACCTCTGAATCCTTCAGTTTAGGTGGACTTGCGATCTAATCCTAAAAATTCAGATTAATAGAAAAGTAGTTGGAATTTAAAAATAATTTTTTGACAAACTGAAAACGAATGTTGATGAAAGTTGTTCATGCCTTCATCTTAGACGGTTCATATCTTACCAAATTTCTATCGATTTCTTGGTTTATTCCAAATTAAGAATTATTAGAATATGGATCTGTTCAGGGCGTTCCAATAAGGATGGATCTCGGTCAATTTCCAGGGAAAAAATGATATTATAATTTTTGCGTAATGAGGTAACTGAGAAGTTAAAACAAATACATGCAAAGGAAAGAATCCTTGCCATTCGTTGGTCTTATCAGTTCCATTTTGTCCTTTGTCAATAAGAGTGGAGGCTAATTAATTAATTAATTTTTTAAAGATTTTTAAGTATACTTCCTATTTTTTATTTTATTTGTTTTTGAGTTATATCCCAATATCCTTATTTTTAAGAGGTTTTCTATTGGGCACTCAGATATTGTAAATGAACAAATATAACTAAATAAAACTTTGAATTAAGGATTAGTTTTTTAACGAATGTCTCTAAATTAGTTAAACCACTTTGTAATTAAATACTCTTTAAACGGACACCAAAATTAAATAATTTTAATAGTTTTGGTTAGTTTGGTTAGCATAGTATTCTTTGTCGCATAGCCTTGAAGCGATTAAAGCATTTCGAAAAATTTCAAAGAAAAGAGTTGTAATATATAAGTGTGGAATTTATTTCATACTTAAAAAAATAGCACCCCAACTCTAATGCGACCATAACAAATTTATTTATGTCCTTAATAAACAAAACAAAGAAATGGTAATAAAATTAATCAAAATCTAGATTTATTCATTTCTAAATAATCACCCAAAAGCGGCGAAACTATAAATTATTGATACTAACTAAGAATTAATTAAATTACTCCTAACTGAAATCATAATAGAAGTAAATACCTATTTAGTAAACTTCTTCACTATGGAACTTAATTTTATCCGCTAATTATTCTTTTTGTACAGTAATTGTCCCTTTGTGAGGTACTTTATTATCGAGCACTCTC